GATTAAGGGGCATGTAATTGTATTTTTATTTATATACGAATTTGTAAATCTGTTTTATTTTTAAATAGTGGAAAATGATTTTATAAGTTACACGTTTCGATAAAAGTTTTAAAATTTCTGCTATTTTTACGGTGGGTCGCTCCGGTGGCCCAAATGTGACACTCCGGATCGGATCGGGGAACCCGCATTGGTCTGGGGTTACATAAATAACTAATACATGACCATTTTGAAGAAAACAAGACCGATAATTGAAAGTTTACTAGTATTTCGAGAACGTTGAACTTTTATGCACTTAGCCGCATTGTCATTAGATTGGTTATCTTATAATTTTTCCTGGGGTAGAACTAGAACTTATACTAGAGTGACTCCTTAGAGCACGCTGCCCTGGGAGAGAGATGAATGATTATGGTTCGAGGTTACCTTTTTGTTCTTAGCATAAGTTCATGGTCACTTTTACTTGAACTGCCAATTTCCATTTCCTTTCTGGCTACTGTGTCCTTCTGCTCTTATGTTTTACCCCCAAACTGTTATTTTATTGCAGTGAGACTTACCAATACTATGAATTGCCATTCTGCCGTCGAGGTTAGCAACAATCATCAGAATACTTCTTCTTAAGTTTGATATCATGCATATTGAAAATTTTCATAACTACTTTTGTATGTGTAAACTTTGAGTAATGTGAAATTAGTATTTGTTAACATTCAGTTAAATTTTACAGTTTTAACATTGAAAATTGCTTAAAATAAAATTATCCTGCATTTACCGGGGATGAAGCTTTTAAACCAAGTCTCTCTAGATTCTTGGCTCTGGGATCGTATAGTTACATTTTGGAGCTTACAATTTTATCACTTCAATGTTCTTTTTCTATGCCTCCGCTTCCACCTCTGTCTCTTCTGTTTTCTTTTACTGTTTTGTGCTTTGCCAAAAGTTAAACAGTAGCACCGAGGTTTCATTTCTCCCAATTTTTGGGCTTGTGGAATTTGGAGTTGTACTAGTAAGTTCGCACTTTGTGGCTGATCCTATAATACCAAAGGAGTCCCTTGGGGAAGTTCTGAGTGGTGATCGTTTGACTAGTGCAATATATAAGTTGAACTTCCGGGAGAACAAAGTTGCAGAGACATTGTCACAAAAAGCTTGAAGGAGATAATATTGCAAAATTTAGAGATGCTGTCATGAATGATTTTTACTTTCAGATGTACTATGATGATCTGCTATTTTGGGGGTTTGTTGGGAAAATTGAAGATAACAGTTGGACACTTGAGGACAAGTCACCCAAGTATTTTCTGTTCAAACATGTACAGTTTGACATGCTTTATAATGGAAACCATGTTATTGAAGTACATGCAATTGGTGATCCAAATTGGGTTGTTGATATTACAAAAGATGTGATCGATGTTGAGTTCACTTATTCAGTCACCTGGAATACAACGTCAGCTGCCTTTGATACCAGAATGGATAGATATTCAAAGGCTTCATCCCTCCCAATCCACCAGAAAATTCATTGGTTTTCGTTCATCAACTCATTTGTCACTATTATGCTATTGATAGGATTACTTAACTTGCTTTTCATGCGGCGTTTGAAGAATGACTTGAGAACGTAATTTGCCTTATGTTTGTTGACACTGTCAACTTGTTTTAAACCTATGGTATTTCTTTTTTATGCTTTGAGGCTAAGGTTCAATGCATGAATAGCAGGTTTTCAACTGGAGATGACGGAGAAGAAGACCGGGAGGTTGGTTGGAAATATATTCACGGTGATGTATTTAGATATCCTCAACATAAGTCCTTGTTTTGTGCTGTCATGGGCATGGGTACTCAACTGTTAACCTTGTAAGCTACTCACTATTTTTCTCCTATCTGTTTGATATCTTGTTCATATTTATTAATTACTACTCAACATCTGATAAGTACAACAAGAATAATAAACAAAGTCTTCTCCACTTCGTGGGGTTGGCAGTTGGCTAATGACATGATTGATATGATAATTGATACATGCATGGGAATCAACTGCCTTTTGCTGGCTAATGGCATAATTAAACTAAACCTTGTTCACCTTCATATTCTTCTTTTTCCTCTTTTGCATTCTCTTTCCAGTTGCCTTCTGTTTCAACAACTTATTTATGCTTTCATATTGGACGCCTTCACTATTGAGTCAGTATTACATATTTATGATACTGCAAAAGAATTGCCATTGTAGGATGTAGTTTTCAAATCTAATTAGATTCAAAAACTCTCCTTTTCTTGATTTTCGTGGTTTTATGCTATGGTTACTCTCAATATGAAAGTTTAAGATTTCTTCTTAACACTGTTGCATTTCCTTTCAGAGTCTTCTGCTTATTTGTGTTGGTATGTCTTGGTATCCTCTATCCGTACAATCGCGGAACGCTTTGCACTGCGCTTGTCATCTTATATTCTCTGACATCTGTAGTTGCTGGTTACACTACGGCTTCCTTCCACTGTCAGTTTGCTGAAACTGGTTGGGTAATGTTTTTAATTTAATTTAATTTTGCACACACTGAAGGAACCTTTTTGCTTATTTGATAAATAAAAGAGAGTCAATTTTCAGGAAAGGAGTGTCCTCCTGGCTGGAATCATGTATGCTGGTCCCTTGTTTGTGATAGGTTCCATCCTTAATGTGGTTTCTGTATCTTATGGGGTAACAGCCGCACTCCCTTTCAGCACTATCATGGTTATCATTCTCATATACACTTTTCTCACCATTCCATTGCTTGTGTTGGGTGGGGTGATTGGATACCACTTTAGGTCTTAATTTCAGTCACCTTGTGCCACGAAAAGATACCCAAGGGAGATTCCTCCATTGGCATGGTACTGGAAAACTCCTTGTCAGATGTTTCTTGGGGGTTTCTTACCTTTTAGTGCTATTGTCTTCGAGTTACAACATTTATATGCGAGCTTGTGGGGATACCGGATATTCACTCTTCCCAGCATTTTGTTTATCATGTTCATCATCCTCATCCTGCTCACTGCAATATTAAGTGTTGGTTTGAGGTATATTCAGCTATCTGTGGAAGATCATCAATGGTGGTGGAGGTATGTTCCCTTGCAATTTTATATACACGGATGTTAATGCTCATGAATATACACACTGAACCATGGGCATGTATGGTTGGTATTTAGGCTTCTTTACTTTATATATGTAGGAACCTTCTTGGTAATATGAAATCTCACAGGTCAGGATTTTGATGTGAAATTTTTTATTGCTGCCTACCTTCACAAACTTAGGACCTATGTCACTCTGACTCTTCATGCTTTCCTGAAATACCCGTGTCTGAGACATACTCTAACATGAGTCTGATAATATGATTTTCTGAGGACCCTCCTACTCATGGAAACCTTGGAAAAAATTGAACATATCCCTTTTGATACCCATGTCTGATACTTGAATCCGAGTCCAAGTAGAACTGATAAGTGTTTAAAACTGGATCAAATACTTCTAAATGTTTTTCTTCAATTACAACCACTACCCTTGCAAAAAAAAAAAGAATAAATAAATAAATAACAGCATTTTTGGTTTTTGTTGTATTGATTTAGAGCCTAGGATCCAAAAGATAAGAGGGTTTTATGAATAACAAATAATGCCGTTTATTGTTCTAAGTAATGCTTTGTTTTCCCTAATTCTCCCTGCATTGCCATGACATTTTGAACACTTGGGATGTTTTTGCTTGATGCAGATCTGTGTTGTGTGGGGGGTCAACCTCTATTTTTATGTTTGCTTATTGTATCTATTTCTACGTGCGGTCAAGCATGAGTGGCTTATTGCAATTTTCATTCGTTATCAGCTACAATGCCTGCGTGTGCTATGCATTTTTCTTGATGCTTGGCACAGTAGGCTTCCGTTCTTCCCTGATGTTCGTTCAATACATTTACCAAGCTGTTAAGAGTGAATGACTGCCTCTTCATGTTCATGGTAATGGCTGTCTTTCTGCCGTCACCTCAGACCCCTAATCTCTCTAATCATATTATTAAAAATCAAGTAAGAAGGGAAGACATGGAAAGAATGTGGTATGAACAAAAATTTCATGTTTGGCATGAGAGAAAATCAGAGTTATGTTTTGATGCAATTTTCCTTCTTTTTCCCAAAGGTAAGAAGTTTGCAGTCGTAGGAAAACATTTTTGTATATTATCCTCAGATTACCTTCTTTATGTTGACGAAAGAATTAAAACTTCATTCCCTTTAATGGAAAGCAAGCATGTCCCGTATATGCAGAAGCCTTTCTTCCCGTGAACTTGATAAAACTTGGAAATTTATTCAGATTTCGTTTGTTTGGCATTCTTTTATTCTGTTTAAAGTTTATTTTTCTTTTTTTACTTGCAGTGTTGAGCATGTGTGAAGATTGAAATAATGGTAGGATTTTACGAACTCAAGTTAGCCCAATTGAATATTTTATAAGAGCAATGTAGACAATTGGGTAAAAAGATTCAGAAAAATCCAACTCAACTCACTATAAAAACTAGGGTAAACTGTAAGGTTAATTTTATTGTGATTACTTATATTATTGGTTTGTTACAATTTAATTATTGAAGTGTTAATTCTTGTTATCCCAATTGACATATATTAAAAATAATTAATTTTCAATTTGACTTATATTTTAGACAAAATACTAATTTGATGGATTTCATTTTGGTGATAAAATTGAACAAAATTGAAATAAAAATATAAACTTGTAATTTACCCTACAAATTAATATAAAGGTAAAAGGACCAAGGCATCAAACAAATAAAAACTGGTATCTTCATATGCCCACAAATATATATGGAAATGAATAAAGAAATTTGAGAGGTCAAATGTAGAAGAAAATACATCCCCAACGACAAAGCTCAAACATATATTTTGTGAAAGACGGTTTTCCACCTAAAAAAAGTATTGTAAAAAATCCAATACACCAACCCCATTGGAGGACCCTATGCATTATTATTATTATTATTCATTGTCCACCACCTTTCACCCTTCTCTAAGCCTTAAATCACAAGAATAAATCTTCTCTCAAACTCTCTCAAAGCCACACAATTGTAAGACTCTAAGCTTTAATGAGACGTTTGCATTTTGAAAACCATAGAAACCCGTCATTTGGTGACGTGCACTTCAATTCCCCCACACCCATATTTCTCTGCACCCTAAGCCAGCCCCTTATATATAACCCTTTCAAAAATCTCTCCTATTTGCACACCATCACCATCATCTTCATCAAGGTGCAACTACAACTACATCAACATGTATAGTATTAGTTCCAGCTCCCAGAATCATAATCCGTCGAAACCCGTTGTCGTCTGTCGTGTTTCGACTTTGTCCATCAACTCCGACAATATACATGGTTTAGGACATGAAGATGAAAAGTCCTATAGTTGCAGTAAATGGGGGTGTTTTACAAGGATCAGCTTTGGTTCCTAGGGTGCATTGCAGTGATGGCAACGAGAAGTATCCGGGACGTGAAAGGCTTAAAAGACACAGAGAAGAGGTTGCAGGTATTTCCATACCGGATAAATGGGGTAAAGAAGATTTGCTCACAGACTGGATGGATTATTCTTCGTTTGATTCATTGTTAGCTCCCAGTGGACTTGCTTCAGCTCTTAAAGCACTTATAGCTGAGGGAAGAAGACGTAGTTCGCAACGATCGATGAGGATCAGAAGTATGTGTTGAATAATTATATTTCCCGTTGATTTTTTTAATATTATTGTGGCAACAACTTTTATCTGTTTCGGTTCATTAAATCTGTAAATCTCAAGAACTAGCCACTGTTACTGTTATTAGGTACAAATATAAAGTAGATCTGATAAAATATTTATGCAGTTTTCAACATTTGCACTCTATCAATCCATTAATGCTGAGATCTAATTATTGAGTGAGCCATACTTGTCTCTCTACCTTGTAAATCCTGCTTATTTATACATGTACGCATGCATGCATGTATATGAGTTTCGATTGAGATACTGATAAAGAAGAAAATCTCTGACATCTCTAGCTCCTAATATAGTTTTCTCAAGAATCAAGAAGAATCATGATTACAGTAGCTTCTAGGATATATAATTGAAGCCATGTTTTATGCAGGCAATATAGATATATAAATACCAAACATCAGCTTCTCAAAAAACTTGCATCAGTTTGATCTATTTTCTTTATGTCGTTGAACTGGTCTACCGAAGGCAGACAAAGTTTCTTTCAGTACATATGCACTTGGATTTTCTTATATTGGATGTATGATGATGGTTCTATTGGCCTTAAAATGAACCTTACCATCCCTTTTTGTTCGTCGCTCTCACTACCATTGATCTTGATGAGCTTAAACCTCTATATATGCAGTCTTGGAATTTCTAAGCACTGTTTTGCCTTTTCTCTTCAATCTCTTCTCTTTCCTGTACATCTAGTAGAAGAAATTAATACAATTCTCAAACGTTTTCCACGCAGGTATTAAGCATCTTACCGAAAAGGAATTGACGGGTTATATTTTCTTTTCAGAATTGTTGGATAAGTGAAAAACTTTTTAAAATCGTTTGAAGAGTGAAATATTAGGTCTCTCACCAGGGAAAGTAATTTCTTCAAATGTGCATTCTCATTTCTCAAATGCTCCCTTTTGCTCCAGGTTTGATTCTACTATGTTCTTGATTCATTGTCACTTGGTTAGCTGGGGCATATAAGGAAAGAAATGATGCAATAATTTTTAGTTAGTGCTATTGCAGTCTTGGCTCGAGATTTAGCGTTAAGAAACAAGAAAATAAAGGAATTGCAGATGCTGGAATTCGAATTCCGAAACGCCGATGCAGTTCGTGATCGGTTCTACCATCTATATGTATGTATGTATGTATGTATATCTGAGTCTTTGCTCGAGATTTTGCTGCTGAAATTATTTCTGATCTTATTCAGTTTCTTCCTTTGCTGAGCCTCTCCGATGGCTTCTTGCATTCTGTTTCTTCCTTTAATGTTAAAAGGTAAATCATGCATTACAAGCAACTCTCATGAGCGTTGAAGATCACTCCCTGATGGTGCATGTGCAGGCAAAATATGCATTTGAGTCACTAAACACCCTCCAATGCTCATCATCCTATTCTGAATATTCTGATCATTTAGGAAAGAAGAAGATCCAGTTTCAACATCTCTTATAACACTATGATTGTTCTGCTGGTATGGTACCATTGTTGCAGGTTGCAGTAGGGATCTGCTGCTTTCATGTAGCTGTTCACCTTCTGGGTTTTTAGCTTTGAAATCATTAATTAACAGAGACATCATTTCATCAGAATCTGATGACCCAACAAGTATATCAGCCCAATCTAATGAATTATCACCCATTATTTTCCCTTCTTATCAAGAAAGCCTTTTCTTTTAATCAGATAACTTCAGGCAGATTTCATTTGCAAATACCTACAACATAGAGACAGAAGGTTAATAATCTGAAATTGTCTCAATGGTTAAATTCAGATAAACAAATATCATTTAATATGATTAATTAGACTTACATGAACATATTCTTGCAGAAGCTAAAGAGCTGAAAATGGCACTGATATGTGTATATATACACATATACATAGATTTATAAAGATGATAGTATGTGCAGGAGGAAAATAAAAGGAGGTTAAGGGCCACACTGTCTGCAACTAATGTTGCAGGCCCTATTTATTGAGGAATCAACAAAGATATCTAAGAAAATCGTAGAGCACCAAGGTTGGTTTGCCAAATATAAAAGAGAAAATCTGGTTTTATCACATTAAATTATGGTAATTATTCTTAGTAAATTACAGGTGGTAAGCAATTTCCCACTTTATTTTAATATCTTGTACTTAAGCAGGACATGTAATAGATGGTGGGTATTTTTTGACTATTAATAATAGGGCACGAACCAAGAAACATCAGTTTTCATTGGTTAAGAGATTTGTTATTCTCTTTAGAAGTTTCAGGTTCGAGCATTGAGAGAGGTATGAGCATTCGTTATCAATTAATTGAGAGTTTTTGAATAGATATTTGCTTATATTTTTTGATACAATAGATGATTTTTTAATTGAATAAGATATTAAAGATAAATTTTACGTGTCTGTAAATAAAATGTAATAAAAATATATTAAATAATGTTATTTTCGTAAAATAGTGAGATTAACTAATCTTACTTTAATAAATGATTGACTTGGTGAAATGAAGGAGATGAATAAAAAAATGATTGACTTGGTGAAATGAAGGAGATGAATAAAAAATTTGAAGTGAAATAAAATAGGATTAATGTAAAATTAAGTGTCCAAATTAAACTTAAAGTTAATTTTAAGTGTCTAAAGAATTTTTTTAAAAAAAAAATAGGTGTTTAACATTTTCGACATTACACTTTTAGGTATTTGTTGTTAAATTTGATCATTAAGTGACACATATTAAACTTATAAAAAAACTAAAAATTTTATTTACTTTTTTTTTTAAATATGCCTAACACGTGTCACTTAATGGCCGTATTTAATAGTGTTAACGGTCCAAACGCTTAAAAGTACAACGTCAGAAACGTTAAATACCTATTTTTAACGAAAAATTATTTATATACCTAAAGTTAACTTTAATTACAGTACATTAAACCAATAAAATATTTAATTCACGAGTCATGGTCATGACCATGACCAAGGAACCTCCATGTTACTCGTTAAAAAAAACAATCATAAAAATACGTGTTTGGGCTGAAACAATCTATTACTAATCTGAGCCGGGTTCGAACTCATGGAAACCAAGCCTCAGCACTAATGAATTTGGGCTAGTTATCATTTTTATTACTCCAATATGCATATCCCCAAAAGCCAGGATCGGCTAGGGTGTATCTTCTCTGGTAGGCAATAGCTATTCACTCCACTTTTTCGCTAAACCTTAGCTTATTGTAACTACCAGTCCCTTGTGGATCTAACATTTCAATAACTTGGTAACGTTATTTTGCAGGTAAAATTTCATAGTTCTGTTCGTGGAAAGAACTGAGATTCAGATATGAGGTAATTTTAATTTTGCTAATGTTTATTTATATATGCTGGACCCGGATTAGAAGCTTTTGCATTTTTTTCTTTATAGGATAATCATGATGTTTTTTTTATCTGTGAAGGATTCGTTACTGATTCAGAGATAAGGACATTTTAATTTTTCTACCGATTATTGATTTACTGGACTCGAGTTAGAAGAGTTTGATCCATCTTTTTGTTTTACGGGATAATATGTTCATCTGTTGGGTGCTTTCATCTGTGAAATATTTGGAAATGGCGTTGTTATTACTTGTACTTAGTTTTTACTCATTGGACGCTCAATATTTTCTCTTTGATTAGATTGGTTTTGTGACAATTTTATCTGAAAATTTGATCTTAGGCTAAATTCTAAGTTGTAAATTTTGGATCACATTATTTGTTAGGGGAGTTACCGCCCTTCCTGAATTTGGTAGTTTAGTTCAAAGCATTTGCTTGATCTATGTACTGTTTTGAGGTCTTCATTTTGAGATTGTGAGTTGTTTGTGTTGTCTGCATTAATCTTTTGTTGTACCAGTTTTTGAATATTTTGTTATCTAGTTGTTTATGGCTTTTTTTTAGGATTTCGGTTTTCTTATTTACAGTAAGCTTCAGAGTGATGCCCTTCGAGAAGCTATTTCAGCAATTGTAGCTCAGTCCAAGGAGAAACAACGCAAGTTTACTGAGACTATTGAACTCCAGATTGGTCTGAAAAACTATGATCCCCAAAAGGACAAGCGTTTCAGTGGATCTGTGAAGCTGCCACACATTCCACGACCTAAGATGAAGATTTGCATGCTTGGCGATGCTCAACACGTTGAAGAGGTTATTTTTTAGCTTTCTTTGGTGAAATTTTGTTTGTTTATATTTCTTCGAAGATTTTTTTCCTCTGGAATCAGGTGTTAGCTGTGTTTTATGATTAGAATATACCTGTAATATTTGAAGGGTTATTTTTGCAATGTACTTTTGTTTTAAATGGTTTAATTTGTAATTCAGGCTGAGAAGATTGGTTTGGATTATATGGATGTAGAAGCATTGAAGAAACTAAACAAGAATAAGAAACTAGTGAAGAAGCTTGCCAAGAAGTATCATGCCTTTTTGGCTTCTGAATCTGTCATCAAGCAAATTCCTCGTCTTTTGGGTCCCGGTCTCAACAAAGCAGGCAAGTAATGTAAAGGAGTGTTGTAATTGACATGTTTTCAGTAATATTTGTATTGCACTCGTATGGCATTTGCAGGAAGTCCTAAGTTTTACCTGTGCATCTGTCATCATACAAATTCTGACCTTACATTGCTGGTTTTTTGCGAAAATACAGGGAAATTCCCAACCCTTGTCACTCACCAGGAATCCCTAGAGTCCAAGGTGAATGAGACCAAGGCAATGGTTAAGTTCCAGCTGAAAAAGGTTCTTTGCATGGGTGTTGCGGTTGGAAATGTAGCTATGGATGAGAAGCAGATATTCCAAAATGTGCAAATGAGTGTCAATTTCCTTGTTTCTTTATTGAAGAAAAACTGGCAGAATGTGAGTTTTCTTATCTTTGGTTTATGTTCAGGTTGCTTGCTTTGTCATCTTATATATAGTGTATAAATGGGATTTCAGCATTATTTTGATTGTGTTGCTGATTGAATTTGAACTCTATGTTGATTGCAGGTGAGGTGCCTCTACCTGAAGAGCTCCATGGGCCCTTCAAACAGAATCTTTTGAGTTGCTTCTGCTATGTACGGAGTGAAAGTAGTGGGATTAAATTAATCAGTGTTTTTTTGTTATACTCGGAATGTTAAACTTAATGTTTTATTTTGTTGTTGGTATCCCTAGAAATGTTAAGAATTTGAGACATTTGAAGTGTTGATTTGCCTATCAACTATTTTTCCATTCATGTTAAATTATCATCCTTTTAATATTTTCTTGATTCAAACGGAAAATATCCATTGACAAATGGCTTGCACTTGAAAGCCTTGATGGGCATATATGGCTGCTGATTCTTGCAAGTTGTGGCTGTTGAATCATTCTGGCTAGGATTTTGCCGCAAAATGAAGTTTTGCTGTTTAAGAGTTAAATAAACTTAACAACGGACCAATTTATCTTTCAAAAATTTTGTTATAACCTTTAAGTTCAGTATCAAATACATTTAATCAAGATCTGGTAAACAATGAATGTTTCACTTTGGAAACTACGCGGGAAAAGAACAAGAACTAGAAAACGCTTCTGATGGCTGTAATTTTGATGTCCTAATTGAAGAATTAAAGACGGATCCAAGTTCATAAAGGTTCATAGGAAAGAGATGGCCTTCTTTCAAAAGAACACAAGTGAGGCACCTGATTTGTTTGTTGCGTGATCAGGTTGTTTGTGATTCTCCATCCGTTTTTTCTTTTTCTTTTCGTTAGACGTTCACTTTAATCTTCGTTTGATTCCCCGTGTTATTTGTTTGGGCTTGGGGTGTTTAGTTTTTTAGTATGAAAATGACTCATTTTTGTGTTGGGCACTTTTTCTTGACGGGGTAGTTAAACGGTCGGTCGTGCAAAGGGGCGATCTGTGGAGCCTTGCTAGACGGTTGTGTCATTAGGAACGAGATCGGTTGGCTAACCATGGGCTGTCCATGCCTTTCTTCTGATTTTACTGATGTAAGTGCAATTTCCTTCCTCACCTTAATTTTAGCAGGTGCTTTAAAACAAGAAGTATTTTGATAACTGCTCTTGTATTCCTGGTTCTTGATTCTGCAATACAAGATACTTCACGTTGTGAATGCTTGATGAATTTCTTTATTTTCGATCTTTTATTGTTCTGGTTTAATTCGGGTACATCTGAATTTCCTTGTATTTTACAGATAAATGCTCGATTACTTTAGAATTTATTTTGCTGATAGAATGCACTGCGTCTGTAGTTCATCCAAGACATATAAGAGCTTTAAGTGGTAAATATTTCTGGTAAATCACTGATGTCATTGCTAGGAGCAGGGCAGTATCTTGGATTGAATAGTACATGCCTTGAATCAGCTTGGTACTGACTTTAGGTATTAGTAGCAGTATGATAAGAGAAAAAAGGCCATTAAGGATTGGAAATTTGATACCAGACGACTAGCAACACTTCACATTTATGGGGCTATTCTATACCAGTTTTATTCATGATCGTATCCATCTTGTAGGTACAAAAGGAAGTTGATCTTTGTATTAATACATCTTCTATTTTTGAATTCTTTCCTTCTAATTTTAAAAATTTAGATATCAGGATATACATGAATAAATTCATAAAACACTGCATTTTCACCCGAAACAACCATTAATAAGCCATGGTCTGTTTAGTAGGCAACTTTATTTCTGTCATTTGAGACAAATATGGTATGTTTTTAGTGGTCCAGATTGGCATACCATATGGTCCAAACGCTTATATACTTGCCATAATATGACAATTCTACAACATTTGATTACATAATTTTACTGGATATAACGAAAATATTAGAACATATGTGATAGATTTGGAATTTCTAATCCAAGTGTATAAAATGATATGGAAAAAAGATTATACCATATGGTCCAAAAGTTTATATACTTACCATAATATGGCAATTCTACCGCATTTGATTACATAATGTTTATCTGGATACAGCTAAAATATTTAAGCATATATGATGATTTCAAAATTTTTAATTGAGGAGTTTAAATTGACATGGAAAAAAGATATAGGTTTCTGTATGTATGTTTATTAGTAAGAATCATAAATGATAAGATAAGAAAGGTCAAAAAATAATTTCTCATTGTTCTTGATGATTATTCATATATATGGTTGGTATATATTCATATATATATCATGATGTTTAAATTCTTAAAATCAATATATTCAGGAGCAATCCATATATGAAAAAAAATCATATTCTAATATTAACATTTTTAAAATCAACATTACAAGGGAAGAGTTTAAATATGTGACATGATCAATGTCAAGGTTAACTGTTTTTTTTACTTAAAAGATAAATAAGATTATGAATAATTGGATTCAAACAATCGTATAAACAAGATGATTTAAGGAGTGGATTTTAATCTTTGAAAGATTTTGTTTTAGACGAGGAAAATGATGATTGTGTATCAAATTTTATAAATTGAGATGAAAAATGTGATGAGGATTGTATTCTTCGATGGATCATAAATAATGTTATACGCTTATGTACTTAACATGATAATTTAGTTTGCAACTATGCAGCCTAGTCATAATACTATTTTACTATTTTGCCTAGGCTAGATTCCTTTGATGGGTCCACGATGGTTCGGAATACATGTTCTTGTTTATGGTAACATTTGGATTATGATGATTATATAGTTATCTTTTTTTTAATTTGGACGTATATTTTTAATATTGGTGTTAGACCTAAAGTCATGATTAATATGTGTAGATTGTCAGGTTGGATATATATGATTGTTTGACAATTAATTTGACTCTAATAAATCACATGATCGTTTTAAAATGTTAAGAGAAGATAACTAACCGTATGAAGTGAAACCTTAGAGACTATGGTCGACGAGAGTATCTTTAGAATGTCTCTTATTCTGGAAATTTCAACTATCAAATGAATTATTTATGGGAGAGATCCGGAAGAAGTATGACATTATAAAAACATAATTCCGGGTGTGACAACTCTAACTGTGACGAATATGTTGAACATTGTCTCTTAGGATTCAAGGAATCTTGGATTCAAGGAATCTTGGCCTTGTGAGAAGCATTTGTGAACTTTACCAGAGACAATGGTCGATGCACGTCAAACATATATACAGAGAAGCCAATGTTACAGAAGAGTGGAACAACAATCAAGGGCTCACATGTCTGTTCTTTATATTTTAGGACTTAGTCCTCCTTTGGGTTTACTCCCCCAAAAAATGTTGTGACAATGGAATTATTAGAATGCGTGAAAGTAAAACCTTTGTTGGAAACTGATACTCTAAACATTTGGTGCACAAATTTCTTTCATACATGATATCTTTATTTGTTGTTTTTTTTAATATAATCCATAGATAATTGCCTTTTATAAGCATAGCTTATCAACTAATTGGTGGGTCTACTGATTGGTAATTACATCGGGTAAGATGCTTAGTGTACATAACTTGTCACTATATAGGAAAACATGAAATGGTTTAAACGCGTTTAGATATATAAAAAGTACAAATAATAACCAACTTTACAGGAGTTAATATAAGATTATGACTATATATTCCATTAATGGAACCCATAATTCCGATTTGTTTTGGCTATACAAAACATCAAATGGTTGCATTTGCCTTTGCCTGCCAACAAATGCCAAAAGCCTATGGGCTAGGCTTTTAGGCTGGTTTCGGCCATTTTTAGCTGATTAATGCCTTTGCCTACCAAAAAATGCCAAAGGCCAAAACCCCCCATAGATACCAAAAGCCAAAGCCGTCGACTTGAACCTGAACCAACTTTCTCAATATATAAAATAAACAGGTCATTAGAAAACAATCACGACTATTAGGTAAGACTCAAAACACTTTGATCCCCTCATTTTCTCCGCTCCCCGTGCTCCTTCTGTAAGCTCCCTTTCTCTCTTTTTTTTTCTTTCTCTTTTCTTAATATTTCCATGTGCATCTCTATCTCTACATCTATGATCTTTTGTTTGTGATCTCTTTTATGATCTGATTACTTTTTTATAATATCCGGGTCTTTGCTTTTTTCTTCTTATTTCGCCTCTTCTAATTTTGGGTTTTCTGGTTGAATCGTCTTTTCTTTTTTTCATTTTGCCATTGAAATGTGATAGAAGTATGAAATTGCTTTTCCTTTTATTGGCTACAATGAAAAATTTTCAATTCTTGATCTGAAATGATTTGAAAAAGTTTGAATCTTGAAACTCAAAGAGAATAAAAGTTGATTTTTTTAGACACCTGAGAAAAATCATTTCTGTGGGTTAAGTCATTAGTGCATCTTGGATGCTTTCCTAGTTTATTTTGTCTGACATGTTAAATTCTTGCCTTTGTGCCTATTGACAACTCTTACAACGTGGTCCTTGATATCGACGTCTATGCTGCTCAAATGGAGGCATATGAAAACAAAATTGGGTTTATAAATTATATAAGTAGACCAAGCTTGTAATAACAACTCTACTTTGGTTTGCTTTCTGTACATTTCTGTTTATTTCAAATGTGGTCATTAGTGCATTGCATACAAGATTGAAAGGGAAACCAAAAAGGACAAGATTGGAGTTGATAAATAATTATTTGAAAATATCAGAACTTGTAAAGATGATTGTGATGGATGAGATTCTGCCCTTCATAAATATTTCTGTCTTGGTTCTTGTAGTATTGTGCCCTTACATGTGGGATTAAGTATTATTGGTTCGGTTTTGGTCTTATTATGAAGGTACACCGTAAACCTTTCATGTCCAATATGTTCTTTTCTTGAGAATATTTTGCTAATTTGTTTGAAGTATGGAGCCTCGACTGAAGAGCAGGGAGCCCTTAGCTAGTCTTTTCTCATACTGCTCCGGACATTAATTGTCTTGTTAATACTGAAATGGATGATATGATTCCTTTTTCCATTTAGAGTATTAGCAGGATACAAGTTCAATCTTATTATATCAAGAATTTTTACAGCTAGCCATAGATAAACTTGTATGTCATACAATCTTCTCCATGAACTGATAAATATCTTTTTATATGCAGAGAGAATCTTAGAATGATTATAGTTATTTGGTACCTTGAAACTGATATTATGGCATCTTACCATCCCAGAATCAACAGTCTCAACATTAGCTCACTGGTCCCCTTCTGTTTTTTGCTAATTATTGTCAAAAGCTTCGTTTGTTGCCACCTTTTCAGTATTATTGGAGCATGGTCATCCTGGATGACTGCGATGTCTGATTTATTTATTTATTATATATAATCATCAGTGAAATTTAAATATCTCACAAATATTACTTTGACTCAGGAGTAAAGATGGCATCTTTGAGTCTTACCTCCCCTTGCATTGTCAAAGCTGCAATTCGCAATCGATCTACAGCTGCCATTGTCAAAGCCCCAACATCTCTTGGATCTTTTAATAGCATCTCTAAATCATTTGGCTTCAAATGTTCCTCCAGATACAGAGCCTCAATGGCAGTGTACAAGATTAAGCTTGTAGGACCAGACGGTGAGAACGAGTTTGAAGCCGCCGATGATCAGTACATTTTGGATGCAGCTGAGGAGGCAGGAGTTGAATTGCCATATTCTTGCAGAGCTGGAGCTTGCTGCACGTGTGTCGGGAAGATTGTTTCAGGTTCCGTGGATCAATCCGACGGTTCTTTCCTGGACGAAAAACAAATTGAGGATGGTTATGTGCTAACTTGTGTTTCGTACCCAACCTCAGACTGCGAGATTCACACTCACAAGGAAAATGAGCTCTACTAGGTAATTTGTGGGCTGAAATGAGTAGGGTCTCAAGTTGCTGCCTGTGAACTCTCATCTACATTTGCTGCCAATGAGGGTAGATATCCATGCCCTTTATAAAATGTTTTCCATTTTGTTTTGCTGAATTATGTTATATCAGCTTAGAATTTCAATCATAATTGTGGATTGCCATGGTTGAAGATGGAGCCCTGTCCTATGGAACTGCCAATAGTCTCTAATAACAGGAGCTGTTTTTTTTTAATTGAATGCATTTATTTAAAATCAAAACAAATGGAATACATTCAGTCCAGAAGTTTAAATATCTCTTAAAATTGAAATTAACTCATAATTGTGGATGATCAAGGTTGAAGATGGCTTGGCTCCATTCTGAACTTGCAAAAAGAAAAAGAATATTCACCTGGGGCGAGAGTTTTGGCTCAAACTTTATTCAGAAGAAAAAAGCAAAAGGATGTTGAATCATTGACCACAATCTCACTGAAAATGATCGCTTTAACCGGAAATCAATCTTCTTACTATTATTATTAGTGTAGAGTATAGAGTGATTAAAAAGTAATATTTATTTAAAAAAATTATTTATTTAATAATAAATGATTAAATATCATTATAAACGAAATACTCAAATTTAGTATTTTTAAAAATAATAATATTTTTAACCATTAAAATAATTTTATTTTTATGAAAAAAAATATTGTATATTCAATAATAATTAATTCTTCGATAGTGTAAAACGCGAATCTATTGGGTACATAACGTGGAGAAAATTAAAAAGAATGGTATTTTTGGAAGAGAATTTTTAGATGTTCCTTTTTCTCATATATATGGGGTAAGGGGAGGTAAGATAGTAGGTTACTCCAAACACCAGATTGAGAGCAGCTTTCGTAAGAGATCTCCGAATTATGAAATGCCCTCCGTGTGACTCGATTCCACGATCTCAAGATTAAGAACCTTGTGTTCTACCAACTGAGATAAACTGGACACGTGTGGCTGCTGAGGTGTCAGCCGACCAGCTCAATGAAAGCGAGGGTGGCGCTGATTAACGCGTGAGCTTTACTTGAGATTCGCGTCAGTAAAGTAATATTTCATCTTGAAATTATTTTTAAAAGGCTAAGGGTAGGCTGAACTGAGCCGGGAAGTTCGACATATGTGGATTTTCTTCACATATATTATGATTAAAGTTATTTTATTTTCTGTTTTTTTTTCGAATTACCATAAAGTTAAAATTTGATATATATGAACTTCGATATATTTTATAATAATTTTATTAGGATTAAAATTATATTTACGATTTTTTTATATATAAGTAATAAACGAATATTTTATAAACAAAACTATAATGTTATTCTATATTTTTCTTTAACTTTTCTAAATATAGTTAAATATCACATAAATATTTTACAATCTTTTTGTGAATTTCTTTCTTCCTATCGATACATAGAATTATAACCTCTATATTTATAAATTCAGAAAATAATAAAAAAATCATTTTTATTCTCGTTGAAGTTTAATTTTTTTATTCAAGTCCTTTTCTATTTATTTTTTTAAAAATTATGTTAAAATTCAATTTTTAAAATTTTTAATTAGATCTTATTTTTTTATAAATTTAGATTAAACCCTTCAATATTTTAATTTGTTTAAACCTATAAAATTATAAATTTTTAGTAAATTAATTTATCAAAATCCGTCAATGATAAATATACAAAACTATTAAAACTCCTTTAGAAAAAAAAGTATTTAATCATTAGCATGAGCACGAGCTATTGATATTACAGATCTTATATACTAAATGAAAATTATTGAGTTTCCAAAGAATGTATAAAGGTCGCATTGCATTTGTAATAACCCTCTTGCAATTAAGTTTTACACGTAAACGCAACATTTCAATATTATTAGTTTGATTCATACCTTTTGACTTTTGAATTCAGATATATCATATGGTTGTGTTATATCAAATTTATTCCATTTCGGATAAATTTAGTTGAATTATAAAATGTATTTTAAATTTAGGATAAACTATAATGATGCCATTTTTATTTTATTTTCTTTATTATCATCATCTAAATTTGAAAAATAATCTTTCGATTATTTGCATTATCGATTTGTTATAAATGGATCTATTTTATTACCTTCAGTTATTTTGATAATGTGGCACGTAAAAAATAATTACTTTTTCATTTAACCCTTAAATTTTATTTATATAACAATTTAAGTTTGGACTTTTTTATTTCATATATGTTTTCGCATTCTTCTTTAAAAAAATCTTAAAAACTCTTTTAATCTCAAATTTTAATCAAAGCTCCCATCGTCGGCCACTACTCACCACCATTATCAACCATCACCGACATGAACTAAAGTGTCTCGAGAAGTGGATCAACATAGTTTGAAATCGATGTGATCCGATGATGGATTTGGAGAGATTAGTGAGAGAAACCAAAAGATTTTGAGCAAGATTTGTGGAGTTCATGGTATTTTTTTTTATGAAACATACATCAAATTTGAGTTTAAGAGGTCAAACAAAGGTATAAAAAATTATGGGTCCAATAATTTTTGTTGACGATGGTCAACGATGATGGTGAGCGATGATCAACAGCAGAAGAATGGTTGAATTATGAGATTAATAAATTTTTAGGATTTCTTTGAAAAGTGTGAACAATGAATGAAACAAAAAAATCAGGATAAAATCAAATTTCTTATCTCAAATTTAAGATTCAAAATAGAAATTTATTATTTTTAACATGTCACGTCATTAAAAATAATAATAGTTAACGATTTAGTTATTAAATTATAATAAATTGATACTGTAAATGATCGAAGTGTTAATTTTTAAAATTCGATTATCAAAATAAGAAGAAAACCAAATAAGTGTCGTTCTTGGTAGTTTACCCTTATAAATAATATTCAATTTTATAAATAACTAGAACTAGTCCGTCGTTGAAGATTTAGTAAATTTAAATTAAATAATTATTTTATTTATATTTTAAAATATTAATATTTATATATTTATATTTTTTAAATTATAAATATTTTATTAAACAATCTCATTGTTTTGGATCGATTTTTTTATCTTAAATTAATTTGTATAAAAAATATATTCGTTGGCGAAACAGAGCAAGCAGAGAGAGAGAGTTCTGCATTTATAACGAGAGGCAGAGAGAAAGAGAGAGACAGCGTTTTGGTAGCGGATGACAAGCCGTTGCTGAAAGTGTTGGCTAAGATTCTTGTTTAATCCAAGATTAGATCATTTATGGCTGCCTCTTCTTCTCTTCTCTTTACCTCGCTTCTGGTTCTTCTCACTTTCGCAGGTTCATATTCTTCGTTCTCAACTCCCAATTCTTGTCTCATTTTCATTCTTCATATGCTTCAACAGAAATGGGAGCTTTTATTTACTATATAATCCAGGAATCTATCTTTTTTTCTTTTGACTTCTAGTATTTGAGTTGATGGTCTTTTTCATTTTCATTTCTAGATGAATGAAAGCAGAGTTTCTGTTAAGTTTCATAATCATGGCATTTCAAAATCTTAATTCTTTTTAAAATTTCCTTGCAAAATAAATCATATATTGCTGTTTCTTCAATTATTATTTGAGCAATTGCTATTTGTTTTTGAATAAGATATTATCATTTATGGGTGATCAATGTTCAGCATTCAATTATGATTTATTTCTGCTACAATGCATGGGTTGGATGGAATTTTCTTATTAATTTGGAAAGTTAATTTCTGGCATCTTCACTCTTTTTTTTTAATCTTGCCCGTCTCTTCTGTTTCTTTCTGATTTTTTTTTTTTAAAAAAAATTAGGCACCCTTTGGATTCACATTTATTCTGTGGTTTCCAGATTCATCAGTGCAAGTCCTTGGGCTTGGAGTTGGAATCAACTATGGCCAAATAGCAAACAATCTTCCATCTCCAACCCGAGTCTCATACCTCCTCAGATCCCTCAATATCAGCAGAGTTAAACTCTATGATGCAGATCCCAATGTTCTTGTTGCTTTCTCCAACACAAATGTCGATTTCATTATTGGATTAGGGAACGAGTACCTTCAAAACATGACCGATCCAATCAAAGCTCAAAACTGGGTTCAACAGCGAGTTCAACCCTACCTTTCTCGGACCAGGATCACTTGCATCACTGTGGGGAATGAGGTCTTCAAATACAATGATCATCAGCAGTGGTCTAACCTCCTCCCAGCAATGCAAACAGTTTATAATACCCTTGTCGATCTTGGCCTCGATAAACAAGTATCTGTTACTACCGCACATTCGCTCGATATCTTAAGCGTGTCATTCCCTCCGTCGGCTGGGGCTTTTAGGCAAGATCTCGGGGAATATTTACATGGTATCTTGAACTTCCATGCTCAGGTCAAGTCGCCAGTCTTGATCAATGCGTATCCGTATTTCGCATACAAGGATAACCTGAATGAGGTGCCATTAGACTATGTGCTTTTCCAACCTAATCAAGGGACAATGGATCCTTTTACCAATTTGAAATATGATAATATGTTGTATGCTCAAGTTGACGCTGTTTATTCGGCAATAAAAGCACTGGGACATACGGATATTGAAGTCCGGGTTTCCGAGACAGGCTGGCCTTCCAAAGGGGATGAAAATGAAGTAGGGGCTACACCGGAGAACGCAGGATTGTATAATGGCAATCTGTTGAAAAGGATAGAACAGAGACAAGGTACACCGGCAAAACCAAATGTCCCGATTGACATATTTGTTTTTGCTCTTTTCAATGAGAATCTAAAGCCTGGTCCAGCATCCGAGAGGAACTACGGTCTCTTCTATCCGGATGGTACGCCGGTTTATAACATCGGAGTTCAGAGTTATCTCCCGGAGTTGATATATTCATCCGGTAGCACAACTAATGTAAGAAAATCACTCCTTAATTTGTCGATAGTCAAGTTACTTAAATAGCGACATCACCATTAATTCTCTTTAACTCTGAGCCTTTTGGCAGGGATTCTTATTCTGCTGTCTTCTGATCTTGGCTATGGCATGCTTAATCTTCTCTTGAAAATACGTCAATTTGGTTAGTTAGATAGGTATCCCAAAGGAAAAACAGTATTGCTGGAGATGATTCAAATTCCAGAGAAGAGGAAGTTTCAGGTGAGATATTCAATGCCTTTTTAACTGTTGCAGCATGCATCAATTAATAAGCTATCAAAGCTGTTAATCCCTATTTCTTTAGGTAGCAATGTGATCCATGTGCACCATGCATGTTAGGTTATGAGCACAGACGATCGATTTGCATGTGAACATGTATGGATGGTAATGCATTATGCACTGCAGCAGAGAGTCTAAGCCTCTTACTTGTTGATCTCTGCCAAATCATGTTTCTTTCATGCATGACTTCCAACAGCCTCATATGGGGGGGGGAGGGGGGTTAAAATGAGCTGGCACATTTTACATTTTTCATGTTGTTGACCCTCTTTTCGAATCCTTTGAGCCAACTTAACACTCGATCGAGGTTCCAGGTAGTTGAAGTATTTGGATTTCAGGATTTTTTGTGTTAAAAGATAAAAGAATTTGGAACCATTTTCTTGTAAGGTTTCAACCACATGGTACTGGGTGGTGTCAACACCACATATGAACCCACTGTCTGGTCCGGTGTGAAAACCTCCGATTGCCAACATGCACACACACATATTGTCCATATTAATTATGGTAATGGGTCTCCATCTTTCTTATTTCAGCTTGCAAAGTTTTATATAATGCATGTGAAATCATTGTGTCGAAATTTTTCTGTCTTCAGCTGTACAATAGTCCAAATTGGCTTCCGTCAAGAATAGAAGACAGAGGGCCACTAGGATTTCTCTAATGGCAGCCAGCCACTACTAACACCATCCCTTTTTGTTTTGTTTTATTTTATTTTCCATCATTTTCTCGCCTAAAATACGTCCAAAAACTTAATCTTGAGGCGGTTGAGCTCTATCTCTAAAGATGATATGTTCATTGTCTGTTTGTCCTTACTTTCTTCCCCCAGAAGAGAATTCATGGCATCAGCTTTTGTTTGGATCATCAGTACCCAGTGTCTATAAATCCATGGCATTTTCAATCAATAGATTTAGGCTAATACATGAAACAAAATTTTGGGTCTTTTCGTTCAGATTAGGGTTCACGTAAGCTGCTTAAATATCTTCTCATTTTCTCATATGAAACATTACAAATCACATAATTAATGTATTTTTACAGTACTGTACTGCTTTGTTAGGTAAGATAAAGAAATATCAACTAGATGTTTGAAGATAAATTTCTTTTAGCAGTGGTGACTTTCAACCTAATGGATCATGCCTTCTCAATTATGAAACATAACAAATCACATAATTAATGTACTTTTAGAGTACTGTACTGCTTTGTTAGGTAAGAAAAAGAAATATCAACTAGATGTTTGAAGATAAATTTGTTTTAGCAGTGGTGACTTTCAACCTAATGGATCATGCCTTCTCAATTATGAAAACCTTGCATCAGCATAGCCAATCGATGAGGTTGACAGATAGAACAACTTATTTGACCATTCAACCTACCAACCAACCTGGCAACAGCATCAACTTTTGATCCTTGTTGGTTTGGTTGGACAATCTCTTACCTGAAGTATTAATGCATCTATCTTGTTCGGATTCTTCATCTTTCTTGAAATATTGGTGTCTAAAATTCGTATTCAATGTATTTTAGACATAGGTGTTGAATATGATCCTTCCATCATTCCCAAAATACATAAAAAAAGCTTATATATAGCGGTATCCGTACCACCCGAGTCCAAGTAAAATAGGTCTTAGCCTGGTAACAACATTGATAGTGCATCTTATTTTCATGAAAGTGTGAACATCAAACAGGTTTCATACATATGATCTCAATGTTAGACTTTGCAAGCATGTTAATTTTAGGATACTGAAATAACATCAGTCTGCATCCTAATTGAAATGAAAGGAAAACATGATGAAAACAATAACTGAATTATTTGAGCCAACAGACATGTATTTGATGTGATTTTTTTATACATCATATATTTGCTTTTCGTTATAACATGATTGATTGATGGTTTGGTTGGTTCACTTTTGTCAGTAGGTATGAGAAAATCACTGAGGAATTGTTTATGGGAGGTGGAGGAGGCCCTGGTTTAAAGGTGACATGGTAGTAGCCAAGACAGTAAAAACTTAAAATCACTAACAGTTGATGGTTGGATTTAGATTATACATATATAGATTCTTTAACCAAAAAATACTTAATAAAAATGGTCGATATTAAAAAAAAAAAGGCTTCAGCTGGTTTTCGTGCTGTTCTCTATATAGTGGTTGGAAATATTGATCTGTATACTGAAATAGATTGTTTTGTACTGTTACTATAGCATATTAAGACCTTTATTGTTTTCCCTTAATTTAGTATTGTTATTTTTATGTTCATTATATATATATTTTAACTTCTTTTGTATTATATAAATAAATTCAGATTAAATATTATCTTTTTATTATGTGTGTACAATTACAATCAACAATCAATACAAAATCGTACCATATAAATATTAAATTTTGGCAATAAAAAGTATTCCTAAATTACCAAATTCATTTTTGTGAACAAATCTTATATAAGCTGATTGTTACATTTGATAAATTATTATTATTATTATTATAAATACTATATTAATTAATTTTGTCGAGGCATGAAGGGTATGGGTGGAATCCCAAATACTTGAGCCAATTAAAGCAGAATCAAATGCTTACGAATAATAATTATTTATTTTCTTGAAATGAATTTTGGGTAATCTAACCAAAAAAATAAAAAAAAATATGAGTAAAATAATAATAATATATTTATTAATTATAACCTAAATTATAAGTAATAAGTTGGATTTGAAAAATGGATTTATATTATACATAAAACAATTGAAAAATCAAACATGAATTTGATAGAATTTATATAAAAAATTATAAATATAATTAATTATTAAATATATAATATTTTAAATAAAATATTTTCAACCACATTATAAATACAATAAGATTTAATAATTTGATAAGAGTTTATTAATAATCAGTTGGTCTAGTGAGATGAGACACTAGATTCCGTAAATAATGTCATAGATTTAAATTCTGACATTTGCAAATGGAACAAACTAGGTTGGGAAGATCGTTCCCACATAAACCTTTGTAAAAATCAATCTAAATTAAACAGTCGATAATTAAAAATAATATTTTTGATAAGGTTTTTTAAGTAAATAACTTGATAGAGATAAAAGTACAGAAGTAAACAAAGTACTAAGAGGGCTAACCCGACGGGGCCAGAGTCAAGTGGGCTGGATCCATAAACAAACAAAAGCCTTGAAGCCAATGGCGGGAAACAAAACCCTCTCTCTGTTTTTGTCACCGGCTTTGCTCGTCCCCTAAACACTTTTCTGGGGGGAAAAGAGAGGGAAATGGAGAAGGTGGTGCCGGAGGGGGAAGAGCTGCCGAAGGCGATCGTGCGACGGGTGGTGAAGGAGAAGCTATCGTAGTGTTCACCGGATTACGATTTTAACGTTCACAAAGATGCCCTACTCGCTTTCACTGAAAGCGCTCGCATCTTCATCCATTACCTTTCCGCCACGTAAGTCGAACAAAACAAAATCCCCAAATGCTTGCTTTGCTGATTTATTTAGGGTTTATCATTATTGTTAAAAGTTGTTGGTGAATCAGGGCAAATGATATATGCAAGGAATCGAAGAGGCAAACAATGAATGCGGAGGATGTGTTTAAAGCAATTGAAGAAATTGAATTCTCGGAATTCGTTAAACCCCTTAGGGCTTCTCTTGCTGGTTAGTTTAGCTTCTGTGGAAATGTCTGAATACCCACTCTTTTTTCCCTTTTTGATTTAGGGTAAATGAACAATGGAAAACGTTTGATGGGTGGGTGGGATTAATTGATTTGTTGCAGAATTCAAAAAGAAAAATGCTGGGAAAAAGGGTGGAGCAGTCGAGGGAAATGAGGCCAAAAAGAAGAGAAAAATAGAGGATTCATCTGCCGAAAACGGAACCAAAACCAAGCAAAAGAAACAGGATAATGATAAAGAAGAGGAGCAAGAAGAAGAGGGAGAAGAAGAAGATAATCATGAAAGTGCGTAGCAATAATAATAATACTGTTGTTAAACTGGGAATTGTGATCCCCATCAAGTGTTTATCTCATATGGTTCTTTATATTTTTCATTTCCTTTTGAGATGGATTATAACTTCCCTCTGTTTTTTTTTTTAATTTATGAACCTTAGATGATTTTAATGGATATTATGGTTGGATTTGAACTCTTGTTTTTTTCTCAACCAGCAGATGGGAAATCAAAACCCAATTCTCAAAGCAAGAAAAAGAAAGCAAAAACAGAATAATAAAGGCTAAAATGTTCGTGCTTTAATCATTAAAAAGGTATGGACATGACAGCATCGTCAAATGAAGTAGATCTGTTTCATGTGCACTCATTTTAGTCCCAGTTTGGTTTGTAACAGTTGCTGATCACTGCAGGGGAAGGAGTAAATAAACTCTCCATCTACCATAAAAATAACCTAATAAAAACAATCAATAGGGGTGATAACACCCGATATCGTTTCCGTGCTCTTCCCTGTTTGAACTGCCATTCTCTGATGTAGAGGTGGGCTTCAAGGTTGTGCTTCCGGTTGCTGCCTGCGTTAATTGATGATAGATGGTTTTAATTCATTAGGCATGTCCTATTATAAGATCAAAATAACATAATGTCACTGAAGAACAATAATATCATCCATCATGAAATTTACAGGAAAACAAAGATAATAAAGAACCAGGAAAAATAAAATAAAGTTTTTCTTTTTCTGTCTACTGATTTTGATGAATCATATTTTGACATTTAGATGAGACAGAGTGATTAATTTTACTTGCATCAGCTAAACAGAACCTTAAAGAAAATAATGGCATTTAAAAGTTCAAAATATTGAATAGAAAATAAAATACCGAACTTACAGGACATATCCGATTCGGCCATCGGGCAGAAGCATTGGCATCATTGACATGCAGTTGTAGTTGGTGCCCTCCCAACCCATAGATTAATGGCTGTAGATGACATAAATTTTATATCAGATTAAATCTCGATAACTCATAAAACAAGTAAACAAAAGGATAATGAGGAGACTAAGAGCATTATATTACATCTTGACTGGCACCACAAGCCTCAAAACACAGTTCATTATATCTTAAACTATATCCACCGATCAAAATTAGACATTCAGCATGTGGGAATTTGTGGTAAAAGGTCAAGCTAGCTATTTGTCTGATTCTTCAAGCACTCATCGCAGTCCTATCGGAAACGATACAGTTCTCTGAATATTTTCTATGCCAGGAGAACCAAGAAAACTATAATTTTAAATGTACTTTCTCTTTCGAGGAAAAAGAAAAACCTCGTATCCAAAAGCAAAGCCAAACTAAAAACAGACCAATACTTACAAAAACATGGAACTTTTAATTATAAAAGCCAAATACAGGACCACGTCCAATATATCTCCAAATAACCTACTTCACTGAAACCTTAAGGATGGTTCTTCTAAAGCCAAACTCGGTAAATATTGGGTTTAGATAGAAGCTCACCGACAAAAACACACAATGCTAAACCACATAGAAAGATTTAATATTTGGCAAGGAAATCATTGACATGCACAAGTCAAATGCAGAGGTTGAAAACGAAGACTAATAATCACCTGTGGGGTATTGAGAAAAAATAATGAAGATACAGAAGCAATCAAACATGCATTGAACATGCAGAGATCTCACCTGTGTAAGGCCCGGAACACCATATCCTGGACCTAGAGCACCATATGCACCCCCAACGAGACCGTAGCCAATGCGGGACGGATAATCAGGAAGAAAACCTGATGTCTGAGAACTTGACCCCCAGTGAGGACTCTTTTGATCTGTTAGAGCTTTGCAAGAGAACATTCCATAACTTGGCCTGAAAAACACAATAATGACATTCAGAATTAGATATTAGTAAACAAAAATGCTAGAAGGATAAGAATTCAGTAATTACCACCCAATTCATATTTTTCTGAGCTATTCAAAGCTTTCATAGCACAAGATCTCTCTGCAAAATGAACAAAAGCAATTCTATTTCTCTTGTCCAGGTTTAACTGGAGGTAGAACTGCTTTCTTATCTTTCCATGATGTTCAAATAGCTTCTTTAACTGATCTTGCTTGACATCCTTTGGCAAATTCTTTACATAAAGTGCCTTCACCTGCATAAGACAGGTTAACTCCAAATTAACAATTCTAAAACATGGTTAGGAAGACACCACAAAATAAATTGCGATTAATGTGATGACCACCAGAAAGGAAAACTGATTTACCTACGAGGAGATATTTGGCTTAGAAAAAAAGTAGTCCATGTAACAAATCCACGAAAACAGGGGTAAGAAATTTAACAGTTATCAGAACTATCAAAGATAAGGGATGGCCCAGTGCGAGAGAGTCCTGCATAATCTATTTGGAAAGGGAGAGATGTACACAGCTTACACACACTTGCAAAGTAGTTGTTTCTATTACTTGAACCCATGACCTCCAAGGTCAAAATGAAGCAACCTAACCTGTTGTGCCAATGCCCATCCCCTAACAACAGATACGAGATAGAGAAAATTACTTCGACGATTTTCCCCATGCCTCCCTAACATACACACTTCTTTTCAAATTACACTGAAAGACACATCAATGGCCCTCAGTTAGGAAGAATCACTAGGTAAGGTTATTGCTTCATATGAGATGAATCTAAGTTATCAATGCACATGATGATACACATTAAAATGCATGCAAATCAGCTTCACCTTAAAAGAGTGGGATATGGAGGGAAAACGTCCCCAGTGAGAAGTGCATGAACATATTAACTGCAAAAAGAAAATTACAGGAAGCCAGGAAGGTAAAGAGAGCAACTTAATGATACCTGGGAAGCAGCAGACGAATCAGCAGTTTTGGGATCAGCCCAGCTCACAGTTGGAGCATTATCACCAATCCTGAATTCTTGATTCATCATCTTTTGCCTTGAATACCAGGGTCATGCATTGTTATAGTACTCCACAAAGGCAAAGCTCCTGTTGCTATATTACTTAAGCTCTTCATATCCTGTAAACACATAATGGATACACCAGACAACATGTAACCCCTCAAACCCGGTCTCTAAGTTAGACCCAAACCTAAATGGTCAAATATCTCATTTAAAGATTTTTTTTAATATTTAAAACAACTTATAATACATTAGATGTAATATAGAACAAAATATTAATAATACAGATATATCCAAAACGATAGCAAATACATGTCACCAAACACAACTGAAAAACATATACAGATATACGTTCGTACAAAATAAGTAGTTGATCTTACCTGATGCCAAATCTGCTAGCTTACAGTCTGTTGTTATCTGAAAAGGGTAAAACTACAGAATGAGCTAAAAAGCCCAATGTGTTCCGTACAGTGTATATAAAAACATACTGATAAAAATATTTCAGTAAAATCGATTTATGCAAGCATGTCGTTAAAGAAATATGAACACTACCCCCATCTGATCACAACAAATGTGTAGGTTTCCCATAACCATACAACCCGGCACAACAGTAAGGCCCTGAGCACACAGCTGAGGAGCCTGCATATATTCTTCCTCCAACATATACCCCCAATGATATTACTAAACATGAATGCATCTAGTGAAAACAATGATTAATACTTTAAAACATGAAATGTTTCATGCTTAGAAATCATATTCAGAATTATAGAAAACAAATAAAATCGAATCATTAACGTACAGTAAATTATATATCAGATAAGCCATATTCAGAAATCAGGTATAAAAATATATCATAACCAGAGATCATATCATAAGTGTGCCATAAATCATATATCAAACAAACGGTATTTAGATCGATATTTTAACACATTAAAATAACACCTTCAAGAAACACACCTGTAACAGTATGAGAAATCAGATAGGGAAGCATATTACTGGGTCTGTCAATCACGCTATGCTGTAGCGCTAGATTCTACGAATCGGAAAAAAAAATCCATATTGGAATCCTAATATAAATAATCTTAATCTTTATTTAAATAATATACAGAAACCTACAGGTAATTCTTGTATTACGCGGTTCGGATTGATCTGACGAACGGACAACACCGGACCTGACTGGTCCTCGCTCAGGTGAAACACGAGTACCTTCATAAAATATCTTACTTAATCAATTCCTTAACCATATCTCAAATAAATAATCAAAATACTAAAATACTAAGCCTTTTTGGTTTCACATGCTCGATTCGGGGTTTAGGGTCAAAATTTGGTAAAACGGACTTCGGAATCAGATTCAGGACGTCAAAATACATAAAACATGACCTTCCGAAAATTCGAATTCTTGGTCAAAATCAAAGTCAACGGGTTTGACTGACGATTTGGAGACTTTCGGATTTGAATTTGGTGAAATAGACCCCAAAAACAGATTCGGGACATCAAAAACTACCAGGATAGGTATATTCGGAAAAGATTAACGGTCGTTTAATAGCCGATCAAAGCCGGTCAAAATTCTGGTTAAAAGAGGTCAACAAATTATCGACCATTTTACAGAAATAACACACTTTTTAAAATAATTACAAAATAACACATTTTTGAATTAATTACTAAAGTAGCACCTATTTTGAATTAATTACTAAAATAGCACCATTTTGAATTAATTACTAAAATAACACCCATTTCAAATTAATTACTGAAATAGCACTCATTTCAAATTAATTACTAAAATAGCACCCGATCAACGGTCGGGTCGAGTCAATGGGTCAGGTCAAAATCGGTCAAACCCTTTGAAAAATCGGTCAAACCGATCATTTTAATCTTCCCCACGCGCAGTGGCGGCGCGTGGGGGCTCTTCAAGCAGCGTAAAATTCACGAAAAAATTCCTAAAAATTATTTTGAGCGATTTCGAGATACTTACAAAGCTCAGTTCAAAATTTTAAACGGCAGAGAGCTCGATTTCAACAAATCGGAAACTTTGACTACTTCACCTCCACACGCGATGCAGCCGCCGAAGACAAGGAGGACACCGGTGGACTCGGAACGACACAAGGAACACGATGGTGCGGGAGGTGTAAAAAACGGAGCAACGATCGGCAATGAATTTAGGATTTTTTAGGCGGTTTGCTAAAAAAAATGTCGAGGCTTTGACTTGAAATTCACGGCGTTTGGCATCGTTTCACTTCAATTAACTTAAGGGATTTGTTCCTCGCTCGATGATGAACACGATGGTGTTTTCAAAACAACGATCGGAGGTCGGATGGCGTCGGAATCGAGGTTGGAAGTTGAGGTTGGGGGAGGGAACTTTGAGAGCAATTGGTTTCTGATTTTCAGAAACCAATTGCACGTATATATCAACCAAACTTACCAACTTTTCTTGGGTAAATTCAGGGTTTAGTTCCTGAATTTTCTTTAACTCTAAAATAAGCTACAAGTTTTAAAAACTTCTAATTTAGTCCCCAAAATTCACAAATTTTCACAATTAAAACCTCAAATTTCAATTAAATATTATTTTGAAATTTCTGAGTTGTTACAATTATCCCCATCTACAAGAAATTTCGTCCTCGAAATTTACCTTATGAAAATATATGGGGAAATTGAACCTCCATTGACTCCAATATCTCCCATGTAGCTTCTGAGGGGCTACGATTACTCTACTGAACTTTGACCATTAGAATACGCCTATTTCGAAGAACTCACTTATCTCTCTCTAAAACCTGAACAGGCTCCTCCTCATATGACAAATCAGGTCTCAGCTCTACCTCATCAACTTGAATGGTGTGATCTGGATCTGGACGGTATAGCCTCAACATAGACACATGAAAAACATCATGAATACGACTGAGCTGAGGAGGCAACTCAAGCTGATAAGCAACAGGTCCGACTTTCTTCAGAATAAGATACGGCCCAATAAATCGCGGACTCAGTTTACCTTTACGTCCAAATATCAATACCTTATTCCATGAAGATACCTTGAGAAAAACTTGATCTCCAACCTCAAACTCGATATCCTTACGTCGCTTATCTGCGTATGATTTCTGCCTATCAAATGCATCTCCTAAGCGATCACGGATCAGTTTGACAATATCTTCAATCTCTCAAACCAAGTTTGGACCCAAAGTTTTTCTATCATGCAACTCTGTCCAACAAATAGGATTTTTGCCTATCAAATGCATCTCCTAAGCGATCACGGATCAGTTTGACAGTATCTTCAGTATCTCAAACCAAGTCTAGACCCAAAGTTTTTCTATCATGCAACTCTGTCCAACAAATAGGAGCACGACATCTACGTCCATACAGAGCCTCATACGGTGCCATACGAATACTTGCCTGGTAACTATTATTGTAAGTAAACTCAGTTAACGGCAAGAAATCTTCCCAACTACCACGAAAATTAATCACACAACTCCGAAACATATCCTCCAACACTTGAATAACTCGTTTAGACTATCCATCAGTCTGAGGATGAAAATTTGTACTGAAATTCAAACGAGTACCAAGAGCCTCGTGCAAAGCCTTCCAGAACCTGGAAGTGAACCTCGGATCTCTATCAGATATGATAGACAACGGAACACCATGAAGTCTAACGATCCCAGAAATATACAATCTAGCCAGTTTGTCCAGAGATTAATTAACCCGAATAGGGATAAAGTGCGCTGACTTGGTCAGTAGATCAATAATTACCCAAATAGAATCATTTTTGGAAGGAGTCAGAGGAAGACCAGTAACGAAGTCCATCGTAATGCGCTCCCATTTCCACTCAGAAATCTTAATTGACTGTAACAATCCAGATGGATTCTGGTGTTCTGCCTTAACTTGCTGACAAGTCAAACACCTCGCCACAAAATCTGAAATATTCTTTTTCATACCAGTCCAAAAGTAGCGCTCATTGAGATTATTGTACATTTTGTCCCCGTCAGGGTGCATATCATAAGGACTACTATGAGCCTCCTGAATAATAACTCGTCTCAACTCATCATCTTTAGGGACGCAGTAACGACCATGAAAACACAAAATACCATCCTTATCCACAGTATACTCCGAACTCGATCCCTGCTTAACTTGTTCAATAATGGGAAACAATGAGCTATCAAAGAGCTGTTTGGCCTTAATCTCCTCAGCAAAAGTAGGTTTAATCTTCAACTCTGCTAACAGACTATTATCATCAAATAAACTCAAGTTGGTGAATAAGGCTCTTAAATCTGATATCGACTTACGACTCAAGGCATCGGCCACTACATTAGCCTTTCCTGGATGATATTCTATCTCAAAATCATAGTCCTTTAGAAGCTCCAACCAGCGACGCTGTCTCAAATTCAATTCTTTCTGAGTAAGCAGATACTTCAAACTCTTATGATCAGTATAGATATAATACTTTTCTCCGTAGAGGTAGTGTCTCCAGATCTTTAAAGCAAAAACAACAGCAGCTAACTCCAGATCGTGAGTAGGATAGTTACGCTCATACGACTTTAACTGACGTGACGCATAAGCGACAACCTTCCCACCTTGCATCAAAACACATCCTAATCCAGAATGAGAAGCATCAATGTAGACAGAAAAATCTTTCCCAAATTCAGGCTGAATCAACACTGGGGCTTGAGTTAGAACAGTCTTCAATTTCTCAAAGCTAGCTTGTTGGTCCTCAGACCAGACAAATGGAACATTTTTCCTCAATAGTTTTGTCAGATGAGCTGCAATAAGGGAGAACCCCTCAACGAAACGACAATAGTAACCAGCTAAGCCCAAGAAACTACGGATCTCAGAGACGTTCCTGGGTTGCTTCCATTTCAGAATAGCCTCCACTTTGCTCTGATCCACCTGAATGCCATCAGCAGAGACGATATGTCCAAGAAAAGTCACTTTGTTGAGCCAGAACTCACACTTGCTCAACTTAGCGTATAGCTTATTCTCCCTTAGAGTTTGTAGAACAATTCTTAAATGTTTCTCATGTTCTGCTTCACTTCTAGAATACACCAGTATGTCATCAATGAACACAACTACAAACTGGTCCAAATAAGGTCAAAACGCCCGATGCATCAGATCCATAAAAGCAACAGGGGCATTTTTTAACCCGAATGACATCACTAAAAACTCATAGTACCCATACAGAGTACGGAAATATGTCTTCGGGATATCAGAATATTTCACTTTAAGTTGGTAATAACCAGATCTCAAGTCTATCTTTGAAAAGATAGAAGCCCCTCGAAATTGGTCAAATAAATCATCGATCTTGGGCAGATGATATTTGTTTTTAACCGTGAGCTTGTTCAGTTTCCTATAATCAATACAGAGTCTTAATGTCCCATCTTTCTTCTTGACAAAGAGAATTGGGGCTCCCTACGGTGATACATTGGGTCGGATAAATCCCCTGTCCAACAACTTCTGGAGTTGGACTTTCAGTTCCTTAAGCTCCTTTGGGGTTATATGATAAGGAGCCATTGAAATCGGAGTGGAACCATAATAGACTTCAATCTCAAACTCGACTTTTCTATCCGGAGGTAATCCAGGTAACTTATGGGGAAAATATCAGGAAATTCATTGACAATCCAGATACATTCAATATCAGATTGAGAACTCCTAGTATCCAAAATATAAGCAATAAACGCCTTAGAACCCTTCCTGATCATCTTATCAGCTACCAAAGCAGACACAACATTCGTCAGAAATCCACGGCGTTCTCCGATCATTACAATCTTTCGATTATCTGGGGTTTTCAGAACAACTCTCTTGGTCTCAAAATCAATATTTACTCGATGTTTGTCCAACCAATCTACGCCGAGAATCAAATCAAACTCTTCAAAGGGTAACTCCATCAGGTCGGCCAGAAAAATCTCCCCATTGATCTCTATAGGACATTCTCTAAAAATACGATCCAACACTATGGACTTGCCTAAGGGACTTTGAACTATCACCGAATGCTCAGTATTCTCAATAGGAATATTTAGACCCTCAGAAACGGAATACGATACATAGGAATTAGTGGAACCACTATCGAACAATGCAAAGTAGGGAACTGAATGAATAGTAACAGTACCTGCAGTCACATTAGGCCAATCGCGATCCTGTCGAAGTCTGGCAATGTAAACCAATACAGGCTGTCTGGCCTCAGATCTGACTGGACCCCTACTCTGAGATGTTCGGCCTCTACTAGCGGATCCAGGTGCTCTCTTCTGAGTACGACCCCTTACTGGAGTCTGAATTGTACTATGAGAACTAACAGGAGTACGAGTTGGTGTTTGAACTGTAGGACCTGACCATGTACAATCATTTACAAAATGGTCACCAGAACCATATTTAAAATAGGTACCCAATTTTATCCTGTATTCCCTAAGATGAGGTTTCCCACAATAATTACATGACTGCGACCCAGAATCAACAGGTCTAGAAGACTGAACAGCTAAAGAACCAGATGCCACAGGCCTGACACTTACACCACCTCTCTGGAAAGATTCACCCCTGCCTCTCTTGCTCGGGTGTGCAGATGAATAATTAGAACCAGAAGGTCTCCTGAATCGGGTTTGAGCTCGATCACTATCTCTCTTGTGCTCTATACACAGTCAATCTATTTCCTCAGCAGTATTGGCTATCTCAACCAAGACATCGAAATTCTTCTCCCGGTGAGTAGCAACTCGGCTCCTGATTTCATGCCAGAGTCCATTCTCGAACCTCAAGCATTTATCTGTGTCTGTCTCAACAAGTCCAGGAGCATAACGGCTCAATCGGATAAACTCAACCTCGTAATCCATAACAGACATGTTACCCTGCTCCAAATTCTGAAACTCCTGACGTCGCTCCTGCAGGTATCTCTCTCCAATATAACAACTCCAGAAACGCGTCTTAAAAAGATCCCATGTTAACTGGTTTCTCGAAATACTACCAGAAATTGATTGCCACCATCTGAAGTTCTCTTTCTTCAACATAGTTAGGGCCCCATTCAACTTCTGCTAAGGTATGAGGTCCATCTCATCCATAATCCTCTCTGTGTCCTCCAGCTAATACTCAGCGTCTGTCGGAGGTCCACCAGTAATACCCTCGAATGGAATTACACCAGCAGCGACCAAAGAATTTGAAATCTCCATTGCAATCATGTTACTAGGGGCTCTAGCAGCTCTCTGAAACATGCGAATGATAGCTCTATTAATGGCATCTTCGTTCATATAAGTATCCTCATCTTCAGCAACAGGAGGGTCTCTCACAGGAGTAAACTGATCATCATGAGAAAGGGTCGGATCTACTTGTGGAACAGGAGGATCACGTGGAGACATCGGGTCGTCGATCGTAACAGAAGGTCGAGCAACTCGCCCTCGACCACGTCCACGTACTGTTCTACGACCTTTAGCAGCACTCATCTTTGGATCTATAAGGCTCTACAGAAAGAATTTGAAATATATGTCAGATTAACATCAAGGATCTCAAAAAAAAACTTTAAATCATAACATAAGGTGACACGTTTTTTTTCTTTTTAAATCCAAAGTTTAGGACTCATATACAGTATGAGTGTTTAAAATTGAAAGCTCTGATACCACCAAATGTAACCCCCCAAACCCGGTCTGTAAGTTAGACCCAAACCTAAGTAGTCACATATCCCATTCAGAGATTTTTTTTATATTTAAAACAACTTATAATACATTAGATGTAATATAGAACAAAATATTAATAATACATATATATCCAAAACGATAGCAAATACATGTCACCAAACACAACTGAAAAATATATAGAGATATACGTTCGTACAAAATAAGTAATTGATCTTCCCTGATGCCAAATCTGCTAGCTTACACTCTGTTCTTATATTAAAAAGTGTAAAACTACAGAATGAGCTAAAAAGCCCAGTGTGCTCCGTACAATGTATATAAAAACATACTGATAAAAATATTTCAGTAAAATTGATTTATGCAAGCATGTCGTTAAAGAAATTTGAACACCACCCCCATCCGATCACAACAAATGTGTAGGTTTCCCATAACCATACAATCCCGGCACAACAGTAAGGCCCTGAGCACACAGCTGAGGAGCCTGCATATATTCTTCCTCCAACATATACCCCCCAATGATATTACTAAACATGAATGCATTGAGTGAAAGCAATGATTAATACTTTAAAACATGAAATGTTTCATGCTTAGAAATCATATTCAGAATTACAGAAAACAAATAAAATCGAATCATTAACGTACAGTAAATTATATATCAGATAAGCCATATTCAGAAATCAGGTATAAAAATATACCGTAACCAGAGATCATATCATAAGTGTGCCATAAATCATATATCAAACAAACGGTATTCAGACCGATATTTTAACACTTTAAAATAACACCTTCAAAAAACACACCTGTAACAGTATGAGAAATCAGATAGGGAAGCCTATTACTGGGTCTGTCGACCACGTTCTGCTGCAGCGCTAGATCCTACGAATCGGGAAAAAAATCCATATTGGAATCCTAATATAAATAATCTTAATCTTTATTTAAATAATATACGGAAACCTACGGGTAATTTTTGTATTAAGCGATTCAGACTGATCTGACGAACGGACAACACCGGACCTGACTGATCCTCGCTCAAGTGAAACACGAGTACCTTCATAAAATATCTTACTTAATCAATTCCTTAACCATATCTCAAATAAATAATCAAAATATTAAAATACTAAGCCTTTTTGGTTTCACATGCTCGATTCGGGGTTTTAGGTCAGAATTTGGTAAAACGGACTTCGAAATCAGATTTAGAACGTCGAAATACATAAAATATGACATTCCGAAAATTCAAATTCTTGGTCAAAATCAAAGTCAACGGGTTTGACGGACGATTTGGAGACTTTCGGATTTGAATTTGGTGAAATAGACCCCAAAAACGGATTCGGGACGTCGAAAACTGTCATGATAGGTATACTCGGAAAAGATTAACGACCGTTTAATAGCCGGTCAAAATTTTGGACAAAGGAGGTCAACAAATTATCGACCATTTTATAGAAATAGCACCATTTTTAAAATAATTACAAGAATAGCACCTTTTCGAATTAATTACTAAAATAGCACATATTTTGAATTAATTACTAAAATAACACCATTTCGAATTAATTACTAAAATATCACCCATTTCAAATTAATTACTGAAATAGTATCCATTTTGAATTAATTACTAAAATAACACCCGGTCAACGGTCGGGTCAAAACCTTTCAAACCCTTTGAAAAACCGGTCAAACTGGTCATTTTAATCTTCCCCACGCGCAGTGGGGGCGCGTGAGGGCTCTTCCAGCTGCGTAAATTTCACGGAAAAATTCCTAAAAATTATTTTGAGCGATTTCGAGATACTTACAAAGCTCGGTTCAAATTTTTGAATGGCGGAGAGCTCGATTTCAACAAATCGGAAACTTTGACTGTTTCACCTCCACACGCGCCGCCGCCGCCGAAGACAAGGAGGACACTGGTGGACTCGGAACGACACAAGGAACACGATGGTGCGGGAGGTGTCAAAAACGGAGTAACGACCGGCAATGAATTTAGGATTTTCTAGGCGGTTATGCTAAAAAAACGTTGAGGCTTTGACTTGAAATTAACGGCGTTTGGCAGCGTTTCACTTCAATTAACTTAAGGGATTTGTTCCTCGCTCGATGATGAACATGATGGTGTTTTCAAAACAATGATCGGAGGTCGGATGGCGTCTGAATCGATGTTGGAAGTTGAATCAACCAAACTTACCAATTTTTCTTGGGTTAATTCAGGGTTTAGTCCCTGAATTTTCTTTAACTCTAAAATAAACTATAAATTTTATAAAAAAATTAATTTAATCCCCAAAATTTACAAATTTTTACAATTAAAATCTCAAATTTCAATTAAATATTATTTTAAAATTTCGCTGTTATTACACAACATTACCTATAAACAGCCCTTTCAAATCAACAGTAAACAGTAGTCTCCAATACTAGAGACTACAGTAGGAAAGCACTAGTTCATTAAACTAACCTTCACCAATGCCAAACCAGTAACTCCGGGCCCAGCCTCTAACAAGACCTTCCTTAGGTGTTCCTCTCTCCAGCTTCTAGGAAGATTACCAATAAACAATTGATTCTTTGATTGGGATGTAGAACATTTTATTTTTCTACCCTGAGGTAGAGAGATTCAGCAACCAAAGAAACATATTTGAAAATATCAAACCTAAGAACGCTGTTGTTAGAAATAAAGAGAAAATGGGGATGCGTTGTACACTTGTGATTGTTACTCGTCTCTAAATTTAGTGTCCATATGCATCACAGCTAAAATTCTGTAAGTCCTTTCAGGTTAAGATGCGATACTTATTAGCTTGGGCAATGTTAACATATAAATGAAGCATAAGAAGACTCGCACCTTAAACTCAGGATTATTTAGCTCATCAATGGCTTTACAGGCCGATTCTACGCTTCTAAAGGTCACAAATGCAAAGCCCTTGTTTTCACTTGAATCTTTACCTTTCATAATCCGAACCTGTCATCATAGAGTGTGATGTAAGTCTTTGTCTCAAGTAGAAAAGAAAATATTCCTCACAAACATCATAAAAGCACACCCCAGTAACTTCTCCAACAGATTCACAAAAGCCTTTCAAATCCTCCTGAGAAACACCATGTGGAATGCCTCCTATATAAACTTCAGAACCATGAGGAGGGCGAGCAAGAAGCTCAGCATGCTTCCTATTTCCATCCCCATCCCCATCTTCAGATTTAGTCTCAGAAACATCAGCCCCCTTAGCATTTTCAACATCCTGATCTTCTTCTTCTTCCACCTCCTCTTCTATTTCTTCCTCTTGTTCTACCTCCACTTCTTCATACTCCACCTCTTCTTCAAAAATATAGTTTAAAATTTTGACAACCCCATTGGAGCTCAACAATACAATCAGCTATGAATTAAAAGAAAAGAGCGAACAAGATCAACCCACGATGAAAATATGTATATGTATATGTATATATATCATTTCTCTCGAGTAGCAGTGAAAAATAGGAACATTTCAATAAATGGGCTTGGGTGGAAGATACCAGAGTTATAGATGGTGGGAAAGAACCCTTCGATAGTTGAGAGAGCAAGGATCTAAGCTTTACGGTGTGAACTGCCAATTTAATTGGATGCACGGTCGTACTGATGGAATGAATTCATTATTACTAGTTTACAACTTTTATAGATAAAAACGAATAAACAAAACCATAGGCAACAATAGAATTAGAAAGAGTGTCGTGTTTAAACTAAGATTTTTCACTAGAGCAAGAAACACCAGTTAGAAAGTTGAGGTGCAGCACGGTCAGAAATGCTATTAGCACTAGGGTGTTATCCAAACATCACTTGCGGCGAGTTTCAACTTTAAAAATAGCTTAGACGCATGAGCATCCCTTGTTCAATGGGCTTAATCTGAAACATAACTAAAGGCATATTATTTTTATTTAATTTCCAATATTTTTATATATCTATAATTTATCTAAGGTTTAATTACAAATAAGTGTCAATTTATTTTTATTTTGTCTAATTTTCTTAATAAAAGTATATTTCTAATATTTCATATTGTTTACATTATCAAGTCTATCTAATAAATGCGTGACACCATTCATCTTCTTCCATACCCCGTATAGAACACTCATTTCAAGTCCGGTTAACATAAGCAATGACAACAACCCCTCATTTCGGAAATGGTGTAAGAGACACCCCGACCGTCTTTAACCAAACAGAGCTGAACTACAAAAATGCAGGCAGTCCATTTCGGGATTTAGCCATTTCTTGTCTGCTGGTTCATCTGCCTCTAGCAAAACGTATATTTCTACTTTGCCCTGGGTTCAAATTACAGAAATGGTACAAAATCTTCTATTTCAAGTACTCCAACACACTTTGGGTGATATCTTCGAGGAAAGATACAAAGCCCATGACACTGGTTATGCCACTTCCGTCGACATCCTGCTCCTCGATAAGATAGTTCTCAAACACCGTGGCATCATCATGCCCTCCCCGGATAAACACAAGTTTGGGAGTAATACAGCGATCTTGTTTCAGTTTGTTGATAGTAGATCGCAGCAAACCTGATAAGAATGATTTACCTCAGAAGAAATCACAGCTAATAAACTTCCAGTTCGATTCTTAAGAATCAACTTCTAAGAGAGAAACCACTGACAAATGATCAAACAGCTTACAGTCATGGGGTGGAGGAAAAGGAAGGTTAGGGTCTGCTGTAGACGAATAAAAGACGATTAGAGTGGTAAATGCATCAAGGAAAAATATCGGACTTCCACTGGTGATCAGAGCAGTACGACTCAATGAGTGCCGAGGATAGGCTTGTGTATCTGGCGTTGAATATGATGTTAGCATTGGGTAGATGGCACGGTAAAGAGAACTTGGTTCCAATGCACTGCATCATATATATGGGAGAAACATTTCAGAGTTATAGTTATCATCTATCAAGGTAAAAGCCATAGGAGTCTTAAACGATAATCAAACATCCATTAATGAGGACAAAAAAAAATTAAAAACATGACTCCAGCTAAACTTCCAAAATAAGCTGCTAGGATAAGTTTATAGTTACTGATATTAGAGATAGCAGTTTATAGTTACTGATATTAGAGATAGCTTCACGAATCAATCTTCCACTAATTAAGTAAATTTAAAGACTCAAAGGCCTGTGCCTTTGAAAGATTCAACAGCCACCAGGGTGTGCGTATGGTTCATTGAATCTCTTGATTATTTAAGAGTGTGACATAAGAATATAACCCAGATCCAATCATTTAAGCAACATGTACCTGAAAAGACATTGCATATAAATCCGGTAATCAGGGTGAACACCTTCTTCGTGGAAACGCATAAGGGGATTTCGAAGCAAGGCAAAAACCAAGCGAGGTAAAAGTTGCAGTTGTGGGCAATGCGAGAAGGTAACATCAATCTGAGCAGCGATTGAACTACTTCCATTCTTGTATTGGATAAGATTAAAAGCTTCATTGTATTGAGTTGTGAGGATAACTAGCCAATCGTGAAGCAAGATCCTTCCCTCTCTAACTCCTCGCTCCAAAGAGGCTAATATAACCTTTAGAATTAAATTATATATATATATATATATATAAAATATTAGAGACGATACTCAAAAAATAAAATGCATAAGCACACATCTAGAAGACATGAAAAGAGAGAAGGCAAACCTTGTGAACAAGTAAAGATAGCACTGCTTCAGGATCAACACTGTCATAAAGTTCATTAAGATTTTGAGCTGTGCCATACTGCAAAGTTCGTATTCTAAGTCGCCGCTTAAGTGAATGCTTGCCTCTGCATAAATGATGAGAACTTATTAAGCTAAGCCCAAAAATAGCTACAGAAAGAAAATTGTCAATTGATTATGCTTAATAACTTGGAACTCAAATCAAAAGGAGTTTGACATGAATGATAATAAACTAATCTCATTGACGTGCAGATGAGCCTATAGTCAAGCCATCAAGAATGAAACAGTTCACAATTCAATTGTAGTCTGGCAAGAACAATGTAAGAATAGAATGTCCAATATACCTACTAGAAGAAACCACTCCTGAACTAGAGAGATCCTCAGGGGGCACGACAACAGTGTACTGGAATGCAATTTGCACCATAGGTAATTCAGAAGAATGTCTGCAAAGGAAAAAGGAGGAGATTAAAAAAGATATAATATTACAATGGTACTGCTCCACAAATTGTTATCAACAAAAAAAGGTAGCAAAACCAGATACTACTCAAAGAGAGTATATTTCAAGCATTTAGGTAAGCTCATCTGGTTCAGGCAAGAATTAATATAATGAAAAGAACAAAATATAAATCTGCAAGCTCAGCTTCAGATTTTCTCACATGATAAGAAGAAGAGAGACTTGAGAAAGATTCCTAACCAAGCATAATGAATATATTTTATTGAATTTTGAAAACGCAAAGTAGAATACTAAGCTATAAGATTCTATGCCAGATGAAGTCCCTGCAATTTACTGCAAGATATACAGATTACAGAATGCATGTCCATCAAATTTCAACAATCAACAGCCGTAGAATATTTGTTTTGTTTCACTCAAAGAAAGAAACTGGAATGAGTAATTTATACCTGGAAAATCCAACATTATTGGAAAAATCAAAATCATAAGCATATGTTGCAAAAGAATCACAACAAATAATGTGCTGAACATTTTCATATTGAGGATCTGGGAAGAAGTGACCATACTGCAAAAGGAGGGATTAAAAGAAGTGAGAAAGCAAGAACTGTTGGGTAATATAAGAAAACTTGAAAGAAGGGGAAAACTTACAGAATGGCCAGGTTTGAATTCCGTAGATGTCCTCAATCTTAGTACACAATTAAAAGCATATGGTCGACTTAGCATTCGGTACCTGCAAAGCAACATCAATAACAAACTGAAATGGAGTATCCATATCATTAACGCAAGTCAAGTAGATATCAAGTGTTCGAATAAACACATACTGTTATTTTTTAAAAAAGGAAATAAACTAGAAGTGTATCTAGCCTAAAAGAAAATATAGCAAATAATTGTTATAATATCACTTTGTTATGCCATTAACCAATACAATATCATTTTAGTCCGATAAAACCCCATGAAAGAATTAGAGGAGATCATAGTACTAACATGTCCTGAGGAAGTGTTGAATCATCTGTATTTGAATATAAGAACAAAGAGCCACCACTTTCTATGCTAAGAAATTTGAGAGATGCCAAATCTGTATACTCATTTGTAACAGCAAAAATGTCCACACATACACCTGCTTGAACAGCCACAGCAGCCTGTAAAATATGTCAATGCTAAATTTTCCAATCCACGCAACAAAAGATGAGATAAAAAAAGTTAAGAAATCTACCAGATCTTTGTAGAATGGTGTCTGCTCAGGAAGCAAAGCACGGTCTGCATCTTCTCCCTTACTAGCATATTGCTCACCATACCTTCTTGTATCTAGCTGCCCAGGTCCATAATCAGGAGGACCAGAGAGAAAGGCAAAAACTCTAGCTGCAGTTGAGTTCAGAGAAGATAACAGAATGTAGCAAATTATTGACATATATGATGAGAATAAAGACATTTGAAAAATCAGAAAAACTCTATGGTTTCTCTCACACCTAATGCAAAAGTGTTTCCATATTCTGATCCAAGGTAATTGCATAATGCTTCCATTGCGACCCCAAAACCACGGCCACCCATCAACACACCATCCAACACTTGACCTGACCCTGGGGTTCTCTCCCATGAAGTAGTTGGCCTGAGAGTTTCAAGTGCAGATGTGATACGATCCTTACAAGTTTCAACCTGAATAGGTTATTGATTTTACAATATCAGTATGCAACAATTACGAAATTACATTATTTGATTTATATAAATGTGGAGACACCACAATATCATAGGTGAAAGACTCAAACAACAAAGGTTTTTTCAGATACAAACTGATATATCTACTCACCCCCTCCCCAATTCTATTCTCACAAAACAACCACTTCATTCCCTAAATATCACACTCAGAAAATCAAAACACGTAGCATGAACCATGAGAGGCAGCAGCTGAGGATAAAAACGAAGGAAACAAGAATGTACAAATACATACTGGAGCCAAAAATTGTAACAAGGGCATGACATCTTCAAGTTCAATTGGTAAGGTACCCTCTGTCTCCTGAGGGACAAAAACATTTTTTACAACAGGTATCGGTCCTTGAACATCATATAACCCTATTTTGTGGCTGAAAGTAGCTAGGCCAAAAAGAGACCCAGGTGCAAGAGCTGCAATATAAATGAAAATGAAGGAAAAGGGTCAACCTTTGAAAGGGGGAAAAGAAGAAAAAGAATCAATGAATCATTTTATCCAGCAAAAAAGAACCTTCCAATGTTGCCTGCAATGCACTTTTAGTAAGCTCCAAAAATTCTTCTGAAGCTATAAACACAAAAAAAGAGAAAGTATTATAAGCATATATAGGTTAAAATATAGAATCGAGAACATAAATAAGAACATCTGCCAAAACATTAAGGGAAGACCTGAGCTAGAGACCAGGTATGTTATTAACTCAATACCTTTTTCTTTTCTTCTGAACATCCTTCTTGGAGCAATATAAACATTCGTATTTTTCACACACAACAAATGCAAAATAAAAACATATAAGCAAAGTGCAATCTTACTTAACTGTCAAATGTCAATAACTACTCAGTATTCTCATATTCATATTTACTACCGTACATGAATGGATTCCACATGTAAAGTGTCTAGAATATGAATTCTCCTACTTTCAAGTCCTAAATTGGTCTTAAGAATATAGTTGTCAATATCATGAAACTCGGTTCATCCAAAATTTGTATGACGAAAAAGAAACTAGATTCTCAACTAAATGACCCATTTTTACCCTAGGAATCAATATCAATTATAAATCTAACTGAAATTCGAATAAATATAATTGCCATGTACCCAAAAAAAATAAATTAATAACACCAAAATTAAAATCTAACAAAGTAAACGAGGATCTCACACGACAAATCAACAGCGGCAACATACACCGGACGAGCGTGCAACATTTCGTCCTCCGATCTTTCCACTAAATAGAAACACGAAAAAGAAAAATGTCAGTATCCCTCATTTTTCTCAGTAACCAAATTACACTTACAAGGCAACTCAAGATCAATAAAGGACGACATCATTTCGGCACACGACTGAGGACGAGAGTATCTGGCGATGGCTTCAGCAGAGAGGCCGTTGAGTGTGCCGCAAAGAGAACAATTCCAGGCCCATTGGTCGAGTTCACAATAGGTGTTGAAATAAGCGTAGCAATTCTCGCATCGAGGTAAAAGTTGGCCGTCCGATCCATAGGCCGGTGCTTGATTGTTCTCATCTTTGGAGGCGAACGGTGTAACGGTTAATCCCCATGGAACGCCGGAAGCTTCTTGGGAGTCGGAGTCGGTCGGGAATCTTGACACCGTCGCACGAACCGCCATAGTCTTTCTGTTTTTTGGGTATTTGTCGGAAATTGATGTGATCGTTTCGCTGGTTTAGGCTAAGCTAGGGAGAGTGTGAATGAGTACTGCGCTTGCGTGTATATTCGTGTTAGATAGCCAATAAGAAACTTAAAATATACCACGTAGGATTTTATAATGACGTGGCGGATTTTTTTTCTTTCTTTTTCTTTAAGAATTCTGTGCTATGAGGTATTAGGTATTTAAGTAGGGATTAATTAAAAAAAGGTGTTTCAATTATGATTTTTTATTTAGTTATTTAAAATTTTATTGTTGTTAAAATCTGTGTTTATTTATTTTATTATTATTTTAAAGTTAAATCCTTAATGTCTATTAAAAAATTATCATTCAATTATTAGTAGACACGTAACATGAAATTTAATTATTTTCTTAAAAATTTTAATTTCTAAAAAACATCTTAAAAATTCTCACAAAATCCTTTTAAACTCCATACATCGTTGATGCACCAATGAAGTCTCCTCCTCTCACTTTAATAATCGTAAGGCCTAGTCCACGACACTTTTTATTTGTAGTTCGTGCAAATACCATCGTTCCGTTCGTTGTACGTTTGCGCCACCTCCTTTGTTGATTTATAATGACCGGAGAAAAGGATAATTGATAGTGAGGTCCAACGATAAAATAGATGGGCGATAGTGGTTTGTTCTAACTATTTTTTTTTATAATTTATAATTTAAATATCGTCGTATACTATCATATCAGTATCGTAAATCGTCACGTCAATATTATAACGGTCAATATTTGATTATGTTTGTTAAAAAATTAAATTATTTTTTTCAGTCTAAGAGTCATGTTAAGTGTAAAAAAAATTTAAAATCATATTAATTTTTTTTAAAAAATTTGAAAATCTCATATACCATTGAACCGAAATTTAAAGAGGCTTTGATTGTGATGATAAAAAAAATTTTAAGTCCTGGGATCATAATTGTTTTGATTTAAAACTTGGTGTAAATTTATGTATTCATACAATAAAATCAGGTTGAATTTAGATGCCATCAGTAGACGGTAACTGCACCTCAGGAATGTGGGGTGATCCATCTGAAAACTTTCTCTTCACGTTGAACAATGATATGGTGCCTTCACTTGTTTTCCCTTCCCTGCAGAAGATTTAAGTAAAAAGGGCACTAGGTATTAAGAGATAGCAACTGAGCAGCTCCAAGATAATCCTTTTCGGATTCCTACTCATTTTGTCACCTCCACTGGTACCTTCTAAGAAACTGTTTTCCGAACATAAATTCAAAATACCAGTTGACATTATGCTATAAATAAAAAAACAGAACCATGGTCCATGAACAACCCATTCCATAGAGAAACTAGTTTATCATGTAATTTATCGAAAGTATTGACCATGAACAGTCTAATCATTTTATCTTAGCTTAACATCATTTTCTAGCTCCTAAGAATGTTTCGATCATTGTATCACAACAAAGATGGCAACAAGCTAAGTGTGAAAATGGATGCAGAAAGAGCAATTAATTCCTCAAATTCATTAAAAATCCATTTAGAAAACCCACAGCCTGGAACTGTAGTATGTAAGTAGTTAATAAAACAACATAAGATGCTTATAAAAGTTTGGTTTATTTATCAACTACTCCGCATGACAGCGCATGGGGTAAAGTGTTCACGGCATGTTCCACTTTCAAAATCTGATGCATTCAACCTCAGTCATGGACTTCTTGCTTCTTTTCCTTAGACATGAGATACCATCCCAGACCACCAGCAAAGGTCACAACACCTGCGAGAACCCCATAGTTTCGATACTTATCAGTTGATACTTTCTCGGTAGATGCCCCTGTTGTTGAGGTAGAGCTAATAGGCTTAGCTTCAGTCACGCTACCCCCTGAACCTGCATCTGGCTTCTCCTCTGGTTTGGGTCCCTGAATATTTCAACAATTAGTTGAATACTTGGTCACTTATTTGTTACAAAAAATAACTTGAATTTTGATTTTTGCACATGACATGTTATCACGATTGAAAAAGGAAAATGACAACTAATAAACACTTCAAGCTTTAAACTATTACATGACCTTATTACTCATTATAACCTAGCACAAAAATAGCAAAACCAAAGAACTCCAATCTTTAGCACAATGGCAACTAATATACTTTTTTGACATAAGAGGAAATGCCACCAGCATTTTACTTTAAACAGAGTTCGCCATGGGAATAAAATGATGCACAATGCAATTCGTGAGCAATGCATGGTGGTAAGTGTTTGTACATGTATATCAGTTGTTGTAAAATATTTTGTAGGCTTAAAAAGTTTATCGAATAAGCATCGAAAGATAAAAGGAAAAAAACAGTAAGAACCCTCCTAAGCATCTAATCCACAGCAATGAATTTAGGTCAGGATATATATAACATATCAATGATAGCATACCTTGCGTGCAAGTTTCTCCAATTTCTCTTGCTCAATTTTCTGCAATAATGCATCTTTTTGTTAGTCCACTAACAAGTCACAACATATAAAAATAATGTAAAAAGTCATACGGCAAAATATTAGGGTGTCAGTGACTGTCAAAATCCTTAGATATTCCTTGTCACTGCTCGGACAAAAATGTATGACCCAGTTTCTATCAGTCACCCCACCGATCTTTACAGTATACCCTTTTCCTAGAGAAGGATTATGGGAAATACTAACTTATTGATAATCCCAAGTGAACAAAATGCTAGAAACTTTAAGCAGAAAAACAAATATGCAGGAAACAAAGTTAGTTTAACCTTTAAACAGAAATGACAATCAGAATGTTAACACATCTGAACCTTACGCTCACACCACCAAAATAACATGCAAATGATAATCGACGAAAACAACTTGAAAAGGATGCATACTTTGATGTAAACATTTTCTGCAGCTTTTTCCTCCTCGCTGAGTATCTTCCCAGACCCACTCGAGAACCTACGAGATATAGATCTAAAGGTCATTCTGGTTGCCATTGCCATACTAAGTGTAGTTGACTATAATACCTACAACCAGCATACAAGAAACAATCAATCAGGTAACCCAACATATAGAACCAACAATCACATGTTACCACAATCAAACATGGTCAATTTCTCTCAAAAGCAAAGATGGAAATAATCAAAGGAAAACAACGTAACCCCAATTCTAAAAACATGAAAATTACACCAGCATCAAACTATGGTATCTAGTATCAACATCAGCTCTCCAGCTTCAAATGAGGGTATTAAGTATTAGCATTATGTAATTGAAAGCGTCAATATCATTTTCTAAAACAAAGAAAACCCTTGGGCTTAAAGCACCTAAGTGATAAACCATATAGGGTTCAAAGTCAAAAATGTCCTAAAAAACCAAAAAATGCATCATCTACAACAGTCTTAAACTAAAACACAAAATGATAACAAAAAAAACGAAATATATTTTCCATTTCATATCTCATCTCCAGTTTCCCATTCATTTCACCGAATCCTAAAGTAGACCAATAAAGACTAACAAAACCAAGTGTTAAACAACTTGTGAGATTAAATGGAAAACATGTGCAAATAACTTTGGATCGAAAGCAAATTCCCATAAATTGAATGGGATCAGCTAGAAATGAAAAATGCGTCGAGAAATTTCTTACCGAGCAGCTGAAGCAGTTACAGAGTAAAAGAGTAAAGAAATTGTTGTGGAGAATGGAAAGACGTGGTTGCTGCCTGCTGGTTGAGTGTTATTGTATAGGCATAGGGTTTGTAGGAAATGGGCCACGTTTTAGATTGGTTCATACGGAAGGAAGCTTTCGGCCCGTTTGATTGGAGCAAACGGATTTTGAATTTTGATTCTGTGGAGAGTTCCACACTAATCTATGCTTTTAAGATTCCAAGATTTGTGTAGCATTTGGTTTTTTTTCTTTTTTACTATTTCGTATGAATTTTTTTAAATAGTTTATAATATATAAAATAATATTTGTTTATAATTATTTTAATTAATGATCATATGTATATCTGATAGATATAACTGTTTGAATTTAAAATTTCAAAAAGAAAACAATATTATCTTTAATTATGAAGGTCATGGATTCAAAATATGTTTTAAATTGGATTATATTATCTTTTTTTCTTATTTAACAAAAATTATTTTATTTTAGAAATCTCTAATTTAAATATTTTTTCATATATATTTTTATTTTATATTAATAAAATAATAACATATATCTTTATCTTATTAAATAATTCATTAAGTAAAAAGATATTGATGCGGTTGATATTGTTTTAGAAAAACAAATATAAATATGTGAGATTAACTATAAATATTAATTCATTCATTCAAAAAATATTAAGAATAAATTTTAATATTATACCAGAGACAAGCAATCATCGAATTTTTATACAATGAACAGAGGAATAGAAGTAAAGAATATTAAAGCCAAGCAACTTGAGCCAACACGGTTAAGGACAGAATTTTAAATAACATTCGCGGTCATTTTTTTATCATGTAACGTTTATCACGGTTACATATATAACAAATTTATTACGGTCATTATGAGTATCATGGTCTTAATTTTTTAAAATATCGCACAACTTACTTTAAAATGATTAAATTAAATATAATTAAAATAAAATATAAAATTTAAATTACTGAAATTTAGATTACTGAAATTAAGACTAAATTAAATAAAAATTAAAGTTTACATTTTAAACTAAAAATTAATTTCTAAATTTTAAAAGTGGGAGAGATATGAAATTAATATATTATTTAAAATTATATTTTAAAAATTATTTAAAAAATAAAACATCCCCTTCTCTTTCTCCCCTTGATTTCATTGTCTGTAACAAAAAAATTATGTTTTCACTCTCAACTTCCCTTGTCCTCTTCCGACCTTTTATTTTTTTGAAATAAAAAAAAGTTACAGTTGGAAATTAAAATCACAGTTGGAATAATAGTTGTTGTGTTTCGTTATCGGTGCAATCAATTGTTTACCGTTAAATTATGGGTGTAAAATTTTGAGATTAATGTAAATTTGTGACCCACCGTAAAAATCATAAAAATCGGTTTCAGACAGCAGCACTATCGTAATATTCCGATCGCTATCACATTTTCGGACCGCAATTTGATACCCATTTAAGGGTGCCACTGTTAGACCCATTGCGACGGAGGACACGGTTATTGTTCATGGCACCGGCTGTATAAACCGGAATCTGTCCTCCTGATCCACTGCCATTATCCCCACCACCATCACCTCCTCCGTTGGCGGTACCGGAAGCTGCGTCCCCTACTCCTCCACCGCGGGCGCCAGCAGCTGCGCCACCACCGCGCTTTTTTACAACTTGAATCTCGTGCTTACCTCCTGACTCAATTGAGATTGAGAATGAGTTTGCCTCCATGGCTGCTTTATCATTTAGTTTTTCGTGATTGAGATCTACAGAAAAAAAAATGAAGCCGTGGTGAAATTAATAAGCCTGTAACTAAGAACAGCAGCCTTGCCTGTGAAACATTCAGCAACAGGAAAAACCATATATGAGAAAACTAAAAAAACCAGTACCTGCTACAACCATGGGATTTAGAGGAAGAAGATGAAGGGAGAGCGGGAATAAGAAGACGGTTGGTGGGAATCTCATGTTGAAGCCGGTTTCCAACTGTAGCAAATGAAAGAATAGGGTAGCTTTGCAAATTTATAAGTTCCATAAATCAGCCACTTGTTTCCAGCAGAAACCATCGTTTTTCCCTTTACAAAAAAGTTAGTGGCCACACACATATTCTTCTTGTTTATCCTCATCCACACTCGCAAGTGCATGTTTGGCCCAACGTCCCGTTTCATCTTCAGCAACCATTTTACTTTCTGGGCATTTCGTTAAAGTTATATATTATAATTTATATATTATATAGTAATTTTAAAAAAATTATTATTATACGTATTATTTTATTATTAAAAACCCGTCAACTTTTTTATTATTATTAAGATATGGGAAATAAGGTTTACTGAGAAAACTGCATGGTGCTTTATTGGCAGTAATTTCAACCAATACTAAAATTGAAATACTCCAGTACTTGGTAGTTAGAACTTGAAAGTTTCATACAAGTACACTTTAAGGGGAATAAATAATGATGCGTATGCCAGAATTAATCTAAACTAAAATTATAGGGTAATTGAAAATATTAACATATACCAATATTTTAAGGGTAAATTACATCATTACTCACTAATTTATTATCTCTTTTCTATTAAGTCACCAAATTTTTTTTGATGGAAACGTTATTAACATTATATTTTATTCTATTTTAATCGTTGTCCGTGAAAAAAAACTAATGGAAATGTTGCTATGAATTTAAAAAAAAAACAATTGTGTCATTTTCTCTCTCTTCATCAGCAACCCATGTGTTATTCTTTTAGTATTTTTATTTGACTAAAATGATGGTGGCACATGACACCGCCTAAAATATTTTTTGATTTTATTTGATTAATACGTTGGTGACATATGACAACATCTTATTAAAAAATAAAATCAAAGAAAATTCACGTTGTTTGAGTGTTGGGGAGAAGAATTGAACATGGCATTAATTATATTTAATTTGTTAAATAAATAATATTTTGACTTAAATATAAATTTTGATAAAAAAAATATAACAAATTTCTAGCCTAGCTCAATAGTTGGGCGTTAGAACTCTATGCAAGAGGGGAAGAGAAACGTGAAAATTTTAAAAAATATATCATATCAATGTCATCGTTATTTATTTTAATGGTTGGATGATTAAAATAGGAAAAAATAACGTTAGTGATACTTTTGTCAATAAAAATAGTTTAATGAGTAAATTAGGAAAGAGACAATATATTAATGACTAATGTTGTAACTTACCCTATTTAGCGCTTCAAAACCAAAGAAGCGGCAAATTACAGAGAAGGGGTAATGGGTCCAACAGAATCCAGCAGTTCAACAAAGAGAAACTGTAATCCAAATAAATAGTATTTATTGGAATCAGGGAGTTTCATCGACCTCTGGGACACCTACCCTACAATATTTACTCTAACCTTTACCTTGTCACAAAGGGTTCTCCTATTACCGGTGTGTATGATTGGGGGAATATGAGATTTTCATTGGAATAAAATTTACATTCTCCGTTTGGTTGGTCGGGAATGTTATTTTCGGTAATCTTATATTATCAATAGTGGATTTTTTAGAGTATATTACCGAGAATGTCATTATCTCTCTTTCCTTAAGTATTGTTGGATTATCGGCTTTATGGACTAAAATACCTTTATATATATTTTTTCAAAAATATCATTATTCTGTCATTGAATAATAAAAATTCTATGAATGTTAAATTACAAATTTATTCTTAAATTATTTTAGATTTAAAAAAAACTATATATATAATTAAAATTTTATATGAAGTTAAGTGGTTAAAATAAAAGTTTACTCTTTCATTAAACCTTTTTATATTTTCAATTTTGTAAAAAAATTATATAAATTTTATTCCAATAATATTTTATTATTTTAACCGAACACGGTAATCTTACATTCCTGCTAAACCAACCAAACACAAAATACAACATTCTCAATAATCCTATTCCCTGATAATCTTTTATTCCCACTGATAATCTTACATTCCGTGAACCAAATGCACCTTAAGTTTCTTCCATGTAAAGGTTAGTAATTTTTAGTTTCAGAATCATATCTATTTTCAAAAAAGTTATGTGTTTGAACACATATCATTATCGCTAAAAATGCCAATTAATGTTAATTTTAACATCCCCATTTTAATAATTAAATTTTATCTTTTAATTGGAGTTTTTAGTTTCATTATATGTTTAAAACATAAAAATAATATTACATCTTAAAAATGGAGATACATTTAGAACTATTCGAATATTGTGTCTAGGCTAAATGGAGATGTGAAGATTATTAATAATTGTTAAGTTTTTTTATAGAAGATGAAATATGTATTTAAGGAAAGATTTTGATTTTATTTTATTTCATGCCATTTGAATTTCTATACTGAGATTATATCATATTTATTGTAACTTGTATTTTTATTTAACGAAAACATAATTTTATTTAAAATAAATAAATAAATACAAGATAGCATGGTGTAACCCAAAGAAAAGAAGATAAGGAGGTTCTCGTGTTGGTTCGTTACTGCAGTAAATTAACACCAACAACCCACTCTTCCTACATTAAATATGGTCTCGGCTGATCCCTAACCCTTTGCATTTATAGGCACCAAATTATACTACTTTCTTCCATCATTCTTCTTCATCCTCAAACTTGGTTCCCTTTCTTGATGGAACTTCGTGTAGTAATCACTGCAGCACTCGTCTGCGTATGGGCTCTTGCTAGGCTTCAACTCTCATCTTCCCATGTTCTCGATTCCAAAATCTCTTGCCTCGACTGCAAACATTATTATGACTTCTCAGGTTATGTCCCTCTAATTTTTGTTGAGTAAACTGCTTTTTTGGTCACTTATCTATTACTTAGTTTCTGTTTTGATCATATAATTATTATTTTTCTTTTTAAAATCATACGTAATGGCATGTTTTGCTTTTGTTTTGGTCACTCCTGTTAAAAAATCAATGATGATACTTATGTGTCACCATAAGTTAATGCCATGTAAGTATTACAAAATTTAAAAAAATATCACATCAATAGACCAAAATAGTACTAAAACAAACGTTAAATATGATTTAAAAAAATAATGTTTGGATGACCAAAACAGAAACTAAGTAATAAATGGGTAGTTTACCCTGTGTTTTAACATATATGCTTAAATTAATTCATGTATAATATATATTTAAAAAAAAAATTGCAGGCATCAAAGTTGCAGTGAAGTGTGATAAAGTGAAGAAACTAGCCACCGCAACCGCCGAAGAAAACGGTGCTTTCAGAGTGGAGCTTCCATTAGACATCTCAGAGAGCAATCCACCACCATCTGTCGACTGCCTCGCCAAGATCATCGGTGGACCGAACCGGCTGTACGGTAAGAACAAGAATCTGGTGTCGAAGGTTGCGAAGAAGGTGAGCCATCGCGTGAACTCTTACACCACTTCCACTCCACTTGCTTTCTCAACTTCCTGCTCTTTGGCTACCGTTGATGCTAAATCATGTGGACTCGGTTCGTCGAAGACCATTGATCTGCCACTACCGCCGGAGTGGGGACTTGCTCCATCGAGCTATTATGTTCCTTTCTTCCCCATCATCGGTATCCCTTGATGTTGGTGGGTTCTTGGAGGTTACTCTTTGTATAATAGAGTGATTAATAACGTTAAGTGCTTGGGATAAAGACTAATTAGTAGTATGTTTATATAGTTCTTTGCTGTAATGTATTATGTGTGTTTAAGAGTTGTTTCTTGTTTAATACTAGCATACTATATATTCATGGCTTTTCACTGTTTCTTAAGCATTTTTTGGGCATCCCATTTTGAACTTTTTTAGAAAAAATGTAAAGGCTAAGCTTCCTATGTTATCCGAATTTTTTTTATTTTTATATATTTGATTTTGATACCTATATATTTGAACTTTTTAAATTATTCGAATTCATAGTTGTGTATGAAATTTTATTTTATTTTTTTAAATTATTGTATCATTATTTTTAAAATGTGAATTAAGTAGTATTATTTACTAGATATAAGAATTAATAAAAATTAAATTTTAAATAATATACTAATTTTTTTAAAAATAATTTTAAATTTTTTTTATATAATAGATCATTTTAATTGAAACATGATGGAGTCAATCTGAATTAATAAACCACTTTAAAAATCATGAATCAAATGAGTCATCATATAAAAATCACGATCAAGAGAACTCTTATTTGAAAAATCAAATATTAAATGAACTCTTATCTATAAATTATGAAGGAAAATTTTCAGCATTTAAAGTAATTTCAGTGACTTGTTTAATTATATATATATATATATATTAAAAAAATCATTTAATCTATAATTCAAATAAAAAATTCACGTAATTTTTAAATACTACAAAAGCTACTTATATGTAAACCTTAACTTGAATCCATATACCATCCTAATCTCAATCCAATACCATCTCTAGATCATCAACTTTACTGCTTAATCACTAGAGATGACAAACGGATACAATTTCGTGGATTCTGCACCATACCCGTTCCAATTGGAGTGGGGATAGATATAATTTTAGTGGGTAGTGGGCGAGTGTGGATTTAGAAAGTGGTACCCGTCGCGGGTAGTGGGCGGGTGATGGGTTTGAGACCTTACCCGCCCCGCATCCGCCTGCCCCACATCCACCCGCCCACTAAATACCCATTAAATTTTGGATCATTATGAATTTAGGTATAATTTTAGGGTTTGTCATTTATGTATGCCAAAGAAAAAATATATTATGTGTTTGTCATTTATGTTTCTAGACTTTAATTATGCCTTTTCTTATGATATTTTATGTACTTTAAGATCTATGTCAACACTTAACTCAGATAATCCTTGGTTTATTTTATTATGTTTCTTAATGGACGTGTTTGTTTTATGTTTGCTGCTTAAGTATAACTTAAGGTTGTTGTCAGGCGGGTACATCTCTAATTGGGTGGTGGATGGGGGATGGATTTGGGAATGTACCCACGTGGGCGGGTGTAAATTTGAAAAATTTTACCCATCATAGGTGTTGGGCGGGTGGGAATGTACCCATCATGGGTTGCTTCTCATATTAATTGCTTATGGTCGCAGGGATTCCAATGTCTCGTCGAAGGAAGGAAACTTCAAAATTGCTCGATAGCTGGGGATCACAATGGCTGATAAAAGTGTGACAGAGAGATGGAGACTTTCTTACCTACAGCTAAATTGCAAGTAACAAATCAAAGTATAATGGAGCTAATAACCAAACCACTCTCCAGCCACAAATAGGAGTATATTGAATGCTTAAACTTGTTCAATCCCGCCAACCAACCTAGACTCCATCAGTGTTTGTTGATTAGAATTTAAACACATATATAGTTAAAAAAAAGTACACCTTAAATATTTACTCAACACACACACGCACACACAAAAGTATCAAAATATAACCTTCAAAATATATTGAATATATCTAAATCTGACATAAATATGATATATCAAATACCAAACATATATGTCACGCGCGGATCCCCTACTTATTGGGCTGATTTTAGCAAAATTTTTCTCGTAGCTGGTGAGGGCATAATTTGAGAATGAATAATACAATTAACTCTACTTAAAATGGTGAGGCCATAATTTGCCACTTGGATAATAAATACTATTATCTAGTCCTTGTAATTAACCACATGGTGATGTTTAAATAAATATTAAAAGAAACTAAATAATATATATAAATTAATATTTAACGAATTAATAATATATACAGCAATAGTAAATTAGATATTGATTTATTTTCATAAAATGTTAAAACTAATATTTATATATATTTTTAATAGTATATTATAATTTGACTCGATGATAGATAAAATTACACATGTCAATGTATCGAATAATATAAATATCAAAATGATTAAAAATTTTACATAAAAAATAAATGTAATTATATTAATAAGTTTAATAGTTTGATTATTAAAATATTAATAAAAAACTTATGAAAGTATATACATTTCACTTGGTTTATGCTAATAAAGGTAGATCTCTTCTGTCAAAAAATATTTTATAAAATATTTATACAGTTATTTGTTGATATAAATTATTTGAAGTTGTTTTTATGCCAGATATATATATATTTGAAATTTAAATTCATTAGATTTTATAAAAAAAAATGATTTAGCGACTGAATTCAAATAATTATAGTTTTAATTTTATAGCATATATGACAAAAGCCTGACTAAAATTTTCAAATCTAATAAATACACTAATTCGCAAAAAGGGAAAATGAGAGAAATATCGTAGCGGAATCCATTTACTAAAAAACTTGTTGGATGGATTCGACTTACAATATCATACAAGATCGCAATCAATGAATTTTTTTTTTTCTATCAAAGTGAATCTTCAACATTATTTTACACAATAATTAATAGTTATTTTCAAATGGATGAATTTTATTAATTAAAACCACATATGATATGATGAAATAATTTATATAATAATTTCTCCTTTTATTGGTAGCACTGTCAGCCAACAAAGCAAAGGTAAGGTCCAATTTATTCACGGAATTTCCACGTGTCACAAACTATTGAGCAAGAACTCATCGACGCAATTTTGGGTATTCCATAAATAAAAAAAAATCTGCGCCTCTCATTTCAAGCACACAAGCTTAGCTGCCAAATCTGTCACCGGCCATCAACTATACACCAAAAATGGCAGCCACATTTGCAAGCCCATCAACCGTCGTCAGCTTCGGCGGCACCGCCACCTCGCTGTCATCCCCACCAAAGTGAACTCCCCTCTCTTCAGGTACGTACGTACCCACTATCCCTTGGGGAATAAAACGCACAATGTTTTTCCACTTGCTAAATAATACTATATTTTGTTATAGAATTAGGAATTTTTAGAGTAAATAGTCATTTGGTGGATGTATAAAATTAGGGTTTTTGAAATCCGGGGTGACTGCTAGGAACCCTTTGAGGCTAGCCGGTGCTTCAGGGGGCAAGTTTACTTGGTAAGTTAAGTTTGTATTAAATATATTAGTGGTGAACAGTGTGATTAATATATGTGTTAATTTGTGGGAAGCTTTGAGAGAGACTGGCTACGTAGGGACTTGAACGTAATAGGATTTGGGCTGATCGGGTGGCCAGCTCCGTCGAGCATACCGGCAATCGATGGGAAGAGCTTGACTGGCCTTTTCTTTGAAAGCATTGGAACTGAGCTCGCTCACTTCCCCACACCTCCTGCTCTTACTTCTCAGTTTTGGTAAACAATGCGATTTTTTAATACAAATAAATACATGAATAAATTTATATTATATTCATTGTTAATTTATCAAATATATGAATTTTCAAACTTATTGAATTTTGTTTGTTATTTTTTTTTGGATAAAATGAGCAGTTTGTGGTTGGTATTATGGCACTTGGGATTGTTCATCACTCTTACTTTTGGACAAAATGGGTTCAAAGGAAGGACGGAGGATTACTTTAAATTCTAGTCCTTCATTGTAATTTCTTTTTAAATTATATTTTCTGTTTTTATTTCCCTCTCTTTGTTATGTAAAATATTATCTCAACGGGTAATCTCGACTTATTAGTCTCTTTTCAACCTATTTTTATGGTTGAATTTTGTTTTACTTGCATCCTCCATTGTATTAAAAGATTAGAGCACAATTTAATTTCATTTTCTATGTGATTTTTTCATATTCGTCGTCCCATTAAGATGAGCACGTTGGTTCAATAAGTTAATTTTACTTAAGCAATTTTAAAAATGTATATTAAAAAGCGTCTTACAGATATTCTTTTGAAGATAGAGTAAAATTATACATCTATATAATGTATTAAAATTAACAATGATGAGAAATTATCAATTATTTTATTTAATATATGGGTAAATATATACTAATTTTTTATCCATATATAGTACTCATTATGAATTAATTACCAAGACATCCTTTACCGCTATTCCTAGTATATTTTGCTTGTAAATACTTCTAAGAGTTGGGCATTGGGTCATCAAGTTTCGGACTTTGAAGCGAAATTCTTGTCAGACAAATATAATTTTACGTATGAACTTACAATGTCACGGCGACCACAACAAAATGGGGAGGGAGAGGTAGGCTGGGAGGGCAAAGGTAAAAAGGGCATGCAAAATTAGGCGGTGGGGGATTCACATATACTTAGGTAGACATTTGTTCATCTTAATATTAAAAAAATTATATTTTATTCGTGATTTTCATCCTGAAATTTTATTTGTGTTCATCCCGTTCAAAAATTTTATGTTATCAACCTACGTTTATACATCCTCAAAAGATATTTCTAAATAGGTCATTGAGATTAGAAAACGAGGTTGTTCATCGTCTTCATGATATCTTTGATCCAAAAATACAGATTCAAGCGTGCGATTTTGGTGCCAACAAAAGCAAGCTCGACCAAACCCGTTACTACATGCATGGATTGATGCTTCAACAAAGTCACCTTCTTTAGCAATCCCGAGTGCTGAATTTCACCACCACTGGTTCACCAATGACTGTTTCCAAAACCAAACAAATTGCGAAAGATAGGAGGAGAAAAGCGCCCAGAGTTGCGAAAATGTCTCACACTTTGCCGCCCAGTTTTTTTTTAATGCTTTGGATAACATTTTACGGACAATCTTTTTTTTTGGATAAGTATAATTTTTATTATCCAAGAGCAATGTTTGCTACAAAAAATCACCGATCTCAGGAAACAGAAAGAAAATACAGGCTAAAACAAAATGAACGATCGGTAT